AAATTGGAGATGAAAAATGACGCACAGCCCACAGAAAAATGTGTTTAAATGTGTTTTGCTAGTGGTTGTTAATTTTTAAAAGTAATATCAAGTACAATTAAACACTAAAATAAAGTGAGTAAAACGTGGTGCAAAGATGGTTCAGATATCAACATTCTAACGGCTCTCCCTTCTATCTCAATGGTCATTTTGCCAATGTTGTGTATTTTTTAGTGAAACCAGTTTTTAAAATTTGATCATGATCACAAAAAGATGCTAATTACACAAAACACGTGCCGCAAAGTACAGATTTATTGTTTTTAAGCTTCGTCACGGAACATCGGTTTTCATCGGTGATATTTTCTTTTCTTTCTACAATTGTTGAGAAGACTCATTTGTTGTAATAATTTGAAAATAGCATATCATTCTATAATGTAGTTTTTAAATATTAAATGCATTTATTAAAGTGAACACTTAGAAGTTTTGTTAAGTGTATACAAGTATATGTTATAATATAGATATAGTTTATCAACATTTAAAAATAAATAGCATTTCCTCTTGTGCAGAATAGAGATTATACATTTTACGAATCACAAAGTCAAGACAATTTTTTCTCATCAATCCATTTTTGAATGTTTTGATAAAAAGATGGGGGGAAAAGGTTATTTAAAAAGAAATATTCCAAAACTAAATTATTAATTTCAGATATATTTTCCTAATAATAGTTAATCTTTTCAAATAAATGAATATTTCTCCATTACCTAAATAAATTAAATCCAAAGCAATAAAAAGTGTGACAATGGAAAGTCCTCCTCCGTCTTTCAAAGGAGGGAAATCCTGTCCAAGATGATACCTTTATCCATAACTAGCGATAAGAAGTCCTTCTCCTACAAGATACTAAATTCCAAAAGAGGTGTTTCTCCGGGAAGATACTTTCATCCATTACAGGAGGTATTTCTCTGGGAAGATACATGTTACTTTCATCCATAACAAGAAGTCTTTCTCCTCGAAGATACTAAATTCCATAAGAGAAGGTCTTTCTCCGGGAAGATACTAAATTCCATAAGAGGAAGTTTTGCTCCAGAATGATACCCTCTTCCGTAAGAGGAAGTCTTTCTCCAGGAAGATATTTTCATTCATAAGAGGAAGTCTTTCTCCCAGAAGATACTAAATTTCATGAGAGGGAGTCTTTCTCCCAGAAGATACTAAATTTCATGAGAGGGAGTCTTTCTTCAGTATATTACCTCTCCCGTAAGAGGAAGTCTTTTTCCGTGAAGATACTAAATTCAATAAGAGGATGTCTTTTTCCGTGAAGATACTAAATTCAATAAGAGGAAGTCTTTTTCCGTGAAGGTACTAAATTCAATAAGAGGAAGTCTTTTTCCGTGAAGATACTAAATTTAATAAGAGGAAGTCTTTTTCCGTGAAGATACTAAATTCAATAAGTGGAATTCTTTTTCAGTGAAGGTACTAAATTCAATAAGAGGAAGTCTTTTTCCGTGAAGATACTAAATTCAATAAAAGGAAGTCTTTTCCCGTGAAGATACTAAATTCAATAAGAGGAAGTCTTTTTCCGTGAAGATACTAAATTCAATAAGAGGAAGTCTTTTTCCGTGAAGATACTAAATTCAATATGAGCAAGTCTTTTTCCGTGAAGATACTAAATTCAATAAAAGGAAGTCTTTTTCCGTGAAGATACTAAATTCAATAAGAGGAAGTCTTTTTCCGTGAAGATACTAAATTCAATATGAGCAAGTCTTTTTCCGTGAAGATACTAAATTCGATAAAAGGAAGTCTTTTTCCGTGAAGATACTAAATTCAATATGAGCAAGTCTTTTTCCGTGAAGATACTAAATTCAATAAGAGGAAGTCTTTTTCCGTGAAGATACTAAATTCAATAAGAGGAAGTCTTTTTCCGTGAAGATACTAAATTCAATAAAAGTAAGTCTTTTTCCGTGAAGATACTAAATTCAATAAGAGGAAGTCTTTTTCCGTGAAGGTACTAAATTCAATAAGAGGAAGTCTTTTTCCGTGAAGATACTAAATTCAATAAGAGGAAGTCTCTCTCCTGAAAATATCCTCTTCCATAAGAGGAAGTCCTTCTCCAGAAAAAAGCCCTCTGTGATAAGAGGAAGTCTTTCTCTGGGAAGATACCCTCTTCTATAAGAGGAAGTCTTTCTTCCAAAAAAGGAAAGGTCTTTTCCTAGAAGATACCCGTCTTCCTAAAAGAGGAAATCCTTTTATGTAGAAAGTTGTTGTGGGAAAACACTATATAATACATGTATTTATTTATAGATATGTTTAAAACGTATATAATGAGGTTTTTTCAAAAAATATCCACAGTTGTGTGGAGTGGGTATGGACACCAGGGCACTGAATAACTACTAGGTTGTGTGTATGTTCGTCAATCGCTGTATATCGTGTGATTTTTTTTAAAGGGGGTTTGGTACTTCGGTTTCACTCAACCTCACTGACCACCATTGGTAAATACTAACTTATCTTTACAAAAAAATCCCAGTCCTGCTTGAGAAAGAGATGTGTTTGTAAATATTATATAATAAGAAATGCAAGTCAGTGTATTTTTATTGTATCAATTGTTTTAGCATTGTTACAACGCACTTTGAAAAATTACGCACTTTGAAAAAAAATTTCCAAGTTGGGTTAAATTTGGGACCAAATCAACGCACTTTGAAAAAATAAATTTCTTTTCAAAGTGCGTTGATATCGACCATATAAACGCACTTTGAAAAAATTTTGTATGGCTTGGTCAATATTCTTGAAAATCTTAGGTATGATACATTGTAAATAAATTGAACCTTTTGGATAACTTTTCAGTGATAAGGTCACTTCAGGATGTGAACGAGCGATCTGGATTTTTCCATACTTTGAAAATTCTTTCTCTCTTATGTTTACTGTATTTAATTTTTCCAGTTTACGTGCATTTAATGTAAACTAAAATTTATTGAAAGTTTTCAACGTCACACCAGTTGTCCAAATACATATATTTGGGTGTAGCATAGGCATCAGTACCGGGGGGGGGGGGGGGGGTTAGTCACACAAATGTTTTGCAAAGATATACTTAATATAGGAATTAAGAATTAAAAATTGGGGCTTACCTTGGGTTGGGGGTGTGTTCCTCTTTCAATTTGCTACCTAAGTAAGAAAGAGTTGGTCTGAGAGACCTTCTATATACTCATCTTCTCCTTGTTTTCGTGTAAATTAAAATGTTTTTCGAAAGATATAATTATAACAAATAGATTCTCTTAATTACTAAACTCTAAGTCAAGATATTTTGTACATATTTTTTTCAAAGTGCGTTAAATATCCACATGGTAAAAATGTTGATGTACTCTCTTAACGCACTTTGAAAAAAATTTTCAAAGTGCGTTGAGTGTGTCCCAAATTTAACGCACTTCGAAAAATTTTTTCAAAGTGTGTTGATTTTGTCCCAATTTTAACGCACTTTGAAAAATTTTTCAAAGTGCGTAATTTTTTCAAAGTGCGTTGCCACATAGCATGTTTATCGTAATGTATGTGAATTGTTACATTTAATTTCAATAGAAGAGGGAATCATGCATGTTGAAAACCTGTAACGCCTGTTATGTACTTCCTGTGTTTGATGTTTAAATTTTGTGTATTTGAAGATTGAATTGAAAAAAATACTTTAGGTTATGATGAGTGTAATCAGAGATTAATTTGTGAAGGTAAATACGACTAATATATCACTATGTTGTGGTCCTGTTGTAATGTACATGTATTTGTTAAAGGTGCATGGAAACAGATTTGAAGTTAATATTTTCTGTATAATATTACGACTTATATATTTTAATAGAATTTCACACAAGAATATATTAAAAATCTTATTTCATCTAAAAGTTATTCAATTTTCAAATTTTTAGACGGGTTTGATTGACACATCCTTGCACTTTCACAAATTTTAATTTTAATCTTAATAATTAGGAAAAATGGCAATCTTGTTGTGTATAAATGAAAAAATATTAAAACTATAATCCAGAAAATTCAGAGTAGAAATGTTTGTCAATCAAACCCATCCCAAAATTTGAAGTTTCAGTAATTTTAAGATGAAATAAAAATTTTTGATATTTTTTTTTGTGTGAAATGCTATTAAAATATATAAGTCGTGATATTATACAGAAAATATTAACTTCAAATCTGTGTCCATGCACCTTTAATATCATACCATTATAGTGCCTTAATAAAATCATAATTTGAAACTTCTTATTTTGGCGTTCGCTTAAACGATTTAAAGCATGTGACTTTAAAATAAAATTCACGTGGTTTTTAAGTTTCCTTCTATTAAAATGGGCTCCGCATGTCGATCATCAAGTACACGTGTAAAACATTTATGCATATATTGTAAACTACATTTCTTTAATCTCAGTAAGTAACAAGCTGTACGTATATAACATGTGTAACAAATAAACATCAAATAGAAACACGAATCTCGGGAGTTTACATTTATTTACACCTGTATAGCTCGCTGAAGCGTACACTTGTCGTGTGATACGACTTACACGGTGGGCACATGACACGTGAAGGTTTGACCTTCAAATAAATCCCGAGGCGGATCAAAACATTTAATTTGAGATCACATGGCACAGGAAGATTTTAATGTGACGATAAATTGATAAATTGAATTAAATTTTAAATCACAGAAAAGTACGATAGATCAACTTTATGTCAGTCAAGGGTTTTTTTCCCAGAAACTATTTTTGACTTTATAACTTGCATGTCGTTAAACTTAAAAATATTTAACCACTATATATAGATCTTCATAACGATCAGAAACGGTGAACAGGACTTTCAATTATTTGATTAATATATCCATCCCCCTTTTTTTCCTGCCGTAAGGGGGGAAGGGGTTCGCGTCATCAGAAAACATTTCTTGTTTGATTCATGGTTATATTTCAAACAAATGTCATGATGATAAGGTCGGATGGGAAATGACATATGACTTAGAGACCAAAAATACGTACAAAAAAGCTTTTACTTCAAGGTCGTCATGTGATTAGGGGACTCCAAACATTACATAGGCCTTGGTTGAGGTTCCGTTTTCTTACTTTTATTAAACCTGGACAGCTTCTCGGGATAATTCTTGTAAGCACTGAAGATGGAACAGAAAATTATCCGGGTAGGGTCCAGGAAAAGTCAGGTCTGTATAAAGATTTTACTGCTAAAAAGATCGCCGCGCGATCTCTTCTTAAAAAGAAATCTTTTTATATTAACTTTTAAATTTTGGAAACTAAACGAACGCTACCAATTTTTTTTAATCAAGCCCTTTAAAAATTACATGAAATAAATTATTTATTTATGTTTATGATTCGGATAATTCTTTTTCCCCTCATGAAGACAATGTGCCAATAACAAAAATAATAATAATAAAATCTCTCTCTCTCTCTCTCTCTCTCTCTCTCTCTCTCTGAAATATACATGTACTGTATATAAACATTGAGAGTAGGAGAGAGCGAATAAGTTTAAATTCGATAAATAATAAAAACATTACATTATTTACCCATTTCATAAACAGAAAATATATCAAAATGATACCTCTCACATTTAGAAAAAAAATTTATTCTAACAAGTTCATTTAGACATCGCAATGACAACAAAGACAGAGTCGCATTTTCTGCAAGTGCAATTAAATACTTGTTTTTATTCTTTAAACTTGATTTTATTTATTATATCATATAGAATATTTGTCTTTTATTTGAAATTAATAAATTGCCATTCCCAGTTAACGAAGATGAAACACGCATTCCATATGAACATCTATTAATTATCCACGTTTTCAGATCAAAGAAATTTCTTATTTTGACAATATGTCTAGTGATGATTTCAATAATGTTTATTCTATAATTTATTTAATAAAGTGGTACAAAAAAGATGGGCAAATTTTCCCATCAAGTTCATTTTTTAAACTTTGAAATTTTGTTTTAAGATACAAAATCTCTCTTTATATGTAATATAAAAGAAATTCAGCCGAGAAATTTTTGCCCATAAGGATTAAAATATGCCCTATCAGACTCCTGTCAAAATATTGTTAAATCAGACTTTGTACTAGGTACAGAATATGCACTTTCAAAAAAATACTTACATGTCTCAGTCTATTGTAATTTTTTGTGATGCTTTTCTGTTAAAATTCAGTAAATTATTTTGATATCGTTGTATTTGAGTAAAACGTGATGTAAAAATAAAACATACATTGCCCATAAATTGAAAATTCACATGTAAGTTTGCTACACTAAATAAGTTTTCTTAAAAATTAAGAGGAAATTGTATAATTCAATTTTTACAAAAATCAACAGAATGATTGAATTGTAACGCAGATTAAAATGTGTCAAAATGTGGAACATTGATTCGACAATCTAAACTTTTAGATATTTTTGGCGATTTAAAAAAAATTATATTCACTGTAAAAGAATCCAGTAAATGACGTCACAGTATTTGACATGGCATCTTAATATAACTTAGAACCTTATTGTGACTCCATATAAATAAGGCCAAATATCAGGTATCTGCTATAAATGGATCAAAAATTACTTTGCCTTTATTAACAGACATGTCACATCACCTGTAGATGGCATAAAAACATTCAAGCAAAATATTGGGGGGGGGGGGGTGGGGGGGACACGTCACAGGTTATTAAAATCCTCACAAACGTCATTGATTATCGACATTAAAGTGTTCTTTTTTTCTAGTGCACTTATAATAAATTAGTTGAAACAAAATAATTAAAATTCCATATAGATTTCTGTACTACTTTAATAGAATGGGCATGTATCATTTCTTCCCTATCTACCACCATCAACCAACAAACCCCCATTCTCCTACATCACATACACATAGTTTTGCTATCATGTTTGATAAAAATGACAAGTACATGTATATAAAAACCCCACCCACCAATACAGCTTTTAATGACATGTTTGGATCATGTAAACGATGTCATGTCGTGCAAAAATCTATACAAATATTCCCCAATCTGCTTTGTTTCTATTTATAGCTGGCCATGGTCCAGACCAACACAGTCATAGAAAGCCTGTCTGCGGCGCACCCCGAGTTCTCCTTCCAAATCGGTAAGGGTGTTCGTAAACTTCATCCTGGAGAAGTAAAAAATACCTAAAAAAAAAAAATAAGCAATATCAAATTTTAAAAAAGGCATAGGACCTAATTCGTGTCCTGATTTTGCACAGCAAACTCTTGTTCAAAGATTTGTCATTTCACAAATTTCTATATCTTATTATCTTTCTATATATGTACATTGAAAAAATAATTTAGTTATACTTTTCCTTAGCATTTGTCCGACTTTAAGAAAAGATATTTTTATTTAAAAGAATTTAAGCTCGAAATGATCGAAATCTCTTTCAAAAGGGTAAAATAATATATCACTTTGCGTTTCATACGTACATATGTGTATTTAGGTAAGTCATGTTATTCCCATGTGTCATTTCAGCCTTGAAGAAATAGAAAATATGTATTCAGTAAAGTTCTCATAGAGAGGTTTAAAACTGAGCTAAAAATAGAAGTGAAGCACGTGAGATTGGTCTGAAATACGTTATTTGGGACCTAATTCGCATTTCATTTAAAGCGAAGCTATAGTCAATATTTGTTTTTAAAAAACACTTTTGAAATGATTAGATATGTTAATATCTGGCATGGGCTTGGATTTATTTATGTTTTTCAAGAAATGAAAGATTTGCAATAACTCTTTAATTTTCTTACAACAGCTTCCAATGAACAATCAATCAATCAATAAATAAAAATAAATTTTTAAGAAGATAACAATGTCTAGACTTATTTAAACAAAACAATTTTGTTTTATTTGCTCTAAGTGTGAAAGAGCGAAAATATCCCTGTATTCACGGCCTTAAAAGTGTAGATGCTCAATAATTTTATTTTAATATTAATATAAAAATATTTAGCACTGACATAATGTGGTTGATTGCGTTTATTTCAGTTTCTATGGAAACAATTGGAGACAAGATCCAGGATGTTGCTTTACCAAAGGTAACTTTAACCAAAAGCCACATAATATATAAAACAAAAAAATTACAAACAAAACATTTCACGTTAAAAGAAAAATAAAAGAAAATTTCACTAATCAAATCTTTTTATCGTCAGATTGGCATCTCTGGGGTCTTCACCAAGGAGTTAGACGCGGCCCTTCTCCTGAATCATGTGGACATTGTGGTCCATTCCATGAAAGACTGTCCAGCTCTGCTTCCTGACAATCTGGTCATTGGATCCATTATCAAGTATAAACAAAATGCCCTCCTGTTTCAAATTCCAAGATACAAAAGAAATTGATTTAATATTGTACAGAATTATGCTGATTGTAACATTTCTACCTTGGATTAGTTGTTGAGGTTGTCTTTTGCAGGCGAGACAGTCCTTATGACGTTGTGGTGATGAGCCTCAAAAACAAAGGAAAGACTCTAGCTGATCTCCCAGAGGGCAGGTAAACATGGTGATTTCTATACATGTGTCCAAATTATCTCAAGCCACGGTCCAGAGTCCACTTATAGCTCTCTCTTTCATATTTTGGCCGTGGTTTGCGACGATGTGTATGTGTAACAGTAATTATCTGCTTTAAGTTGCAAAATTTTGATTTGAATTTGATTAAGCATTCTATTTTTTTCATTTGTAGTGTTGTTGGGACGAGTTCTCTGCGACGTGTTGCTCAGGTGTCTCGGATCCATCCCCACCTTAAGTTTGAGAGTATTGTAAGTACCCAATGAGTAGTGTCTCTTCTTTATCGATGCTAGTGATTTAAAAACTGAAAGCTCTTTTGATTTTAGAACAGTTATGAAGCTTAAAGATGAAGACAAAAATATTCAGCTAAAGCAGTTAATGGTCTTTGATTTTTAACAAGAAGTGCATGTGTATTAGTAAATATGATTTTACATTGGTATTGTTAGGTGTGAATGCCCCGTAGGATCATAAATTGCACATCTTTACAAGTAAACGCATCGGCCATTTTATTTCAAAGTTAAAAAAAAAATGATGTCTTGACTTGATTTCACTTAATTAAAAAAATTTTTTAATTTCAAACGTTTGATATTATATTTGTTTAAATAGAGAGGGAGTTTGAACTCTCGCCTTGAGAAGCTTGACGGAGGAGATAAATACGCCGCACTAATCCTGGCGGAGGCCGGACTCTCTAGAATGGGGTGGGAGGACAGGCTGTCTGAGGTAAAAATAATATCTATGGGATCGTTTTAAAAGTTACAGTAACGATTAAAATCAAAGGACACGACTATGACCAAAAACTTTACTTATAAAATCTTGAAAATTTTCTGCGAAAAAATTCTTGCATGAGAATGTCTTTCAAAAGGATTGTCTCATTTTCAAATTAATGTGAAGAAGAAAGTTAATTGCACAATAATTTTTTATATTACTGAATTTACTATAGTCCTAAGTTCATTTGTGAAACGAAGCCCGGGCCTCAAGACCATTGACTGAGAAAAGCCAAAATTAAAAGTCCGAATATCCGGATTTTAATTCAGGAAAAAATGTTCGAAAAGTATGTCTATATATATTAAATTTTGTAGAGATTGGCAGATAGTGGATGTTTGTATGCAGTAAGCCAGGGCGCCATTGGGGTAGAGTGCCGTGCAGACGACAAACTGACTTTGTCTCTTCTGGACTCCATTGCTGACAGAGAGACGATGCTGCAGTGTGTCGCAGAAAGGTCCTTTATTAGGAACTTGGTACACAGACCTTTGCGATTTCTCTGATTCTTGTAGTATTTTTTCGTTTGAGTTGAAATTATTTTATATGAATTTTTCATTTGTTATAGGGCGTAGGCTACAAAGCACCCGTCTGCGTTCATTGTGAAATCACACGTGATGAGGTATGTATTCGTGCATTGTCAGGATCACTTTTTTGGTGATAATATACCATAAAAGGAAAGCAAGTATATTAAAATAAAAATTGAATATATGTTTCACATATTTTATTGATATATAAGTAGAGAATTAATTTGGTTTAATGTATTCCTTCAAAAACCGCATTATATCAATAATGTATAATTAAGTAATCAAAATCTTACTTCTAAGTTTTTTTGATTGACAAAACATGGAAATCATATTGGATATCTCAATAAATGTACACATTACAACGAATCCCTTCTGTACTCGACATTGTCTGATATATTTTAGCTTAAGTTTTTAAACTACAATAAGTTTTAAGGATCATTGATTCCCTGCTAAGAGAGATAACTATTAATATTTGTCTAGTTAGAATATCTGTTTTGTCCGATTTTGCCTTGCAACTTATGCTTAAATTATAATTTTTAAAAACAAATATTTCCATTGAAAAATCATGAGTTCAAGTGGTATCTTAGAGAGGTGGAGGGTTTATGGACCTTACATATGTAATTATAAACCAGTTATTTTAAGGTGTGTGGACCTCAATTATAAACTAGTTATTTACTTTTGTTAGATACACTTACGTGGTGCAGTGTACAGCCTGGATGGACATGAGACACAAGTTCTGGACACAAGGGCTCTTCTCCACCCCGACGGACAAAGAACCGGGGTAGGTCTAATTGTATTGTACACCGTCCGTTATTTCATTTGTCTGAAAATACAACAAAAATTACATATTTTAAGTCATCGAGTGCATAGACTTTTTAAATAATATCTATTTACTTCACCCAGATTTTTTTAAATATGTTATTAACTTATAATTGATTTCTTCAAGTGGAATCAGAAACATAACCTTCTCGATAACAAATTAATGTAAGTTTATTGATAAAAGAATCAATAACTGTTATAAGCCCGATATTTATATACCTGGTATTTTCTAACTTCAATTTTTGTTAATAGAAAGGAGAGCAGGTGCCCGCTAGCAGCTCTTCCTTCATGTCGATAGCAGTGGGCACTTCCGCCACAAGAGAGGAGATGGCTGTAGCTCAGCGTATAGGGCTCAAATTGGCCGAAGAATTTCTCAAATCGAATGCCAAAGATGTACTGATGACCGCCAAGGTTTCTACCGAGAATTCTATACTCCAGGAGCGATCGCGACGCGAGCTTGTGGCCTAATTAATTAAAGAAGGAAGCTCATGATCTAATTAAGATGCGGCCTTATCAATTACCAACGGGAGCTTGTACAAAAAAAGTGCCATTCAGTTAACTGAAATACGACTGAAAGTTTACTGAATTGTGACTGAATGACTAAGCTCTGCTATTCAGTGACCTTTCTTGACCATTCAGTCACCATTCAGTGACCTTTCTTGACCATTCAGTGACCTTTCTTGTCCTTTAAGTCACCATTCAGTGACCTTTCTTGACCTTTCAGTCACAATTCAATGACCTTTCTTACCATTCGGTCACCATTCAGTGACCTTTCTTGACCATTCAGTCACCATTCAGTGACCTTTGTTTACCTTTCAGTCACTATTCAGTTGACTAAATGCATGCATGGTTAAGGTCTCCCAGAGGTTCCAATTGTTCCAGTTGCAAGGACACCCCTTAACAATCTAAATGTGATATCAAATCTACACATGTGATATCCCTACTTAAAATGAAGTTATATATTATATATTTGTTAATCAAAATTTGATGATCGATATCAATATTACGTATTTGTTAATCAAACTTTGCATACATTTATTGTTTTTATAGTATTTAAAGTTATTTGTTTAAAACAAAATGTATTAGAGTACATGTAACTACACTGTAAATCAGATAGACTAGAGAGTAGTAATAAAATTTTGAAAAACGTGTTTATTTCTTTTTTCAGTTACATGCATGTTTTATTCTACGTGTATATACATGTAGTTATTTATGGTAAAGTACCGTACATGTTTTTATATTTTTTTTAAACCATTAAATGAGAAACCCCCCCCCCTCAAAAAAAACCCCCAATAATTAGTGGTATATTGGTAGTAAATATTTTTATCTGCGCTCAGTGCATCTTGGGGAAGCAAATTTAAAATCCTTTCAAACTTGTATATATTCGTCCACACGAAGATTGGGTAGTTGATGTTACTATAGACTGGTACAGTCAGAGTTATGAAGGTATATAAACCAACCATAATATTGAATTTGTTTTTTATTAGTTTATTACAAAACCAAACATGCTTTACCTTAACCAATTTCGTCTCTCCAGGAATATTTTATTTGATCGTCTTAGAATAAATTGAGAGAGAAAAAAATTCAGGGATATCTCTGAAAATTCAAAGGGATCGGTGAATCCAGTCCTCAAAATTTTTTAAAACATTTTTTTTCGTCCACAGATATTAAGGTTTTTTTAAAATACAGACATCTGCAAGAGATTTTTTAACGGGTTGTCATTGTACGCATAAATATTTTAGTTTGATAAATGAAATTAACGAGGCTAGGGGGTGGCAGCCATTTTTAGACTATTTCAATCTCCTTTAAAAGGAGAGCTCCATATAAAGATATAAAAAATGATAAAATTTTAAAACTAAATTATATAATTTTTTTCTTTGTCAAATGATATTTGACAGCTAAATATACCGTATCTAAAAAAAGTAACTTAAATCTGGTGGTTAATTTGGGATTAAATTGTTGACCCGCCAGCCTCCTTAATGGATGATAATATTTGACGATTCGGGAAAATGCATGCAATTAGTTTATTGTAAGTATAATGTAAACTGTGGCGCAATTTCTTCAATTTTTTAAAAAGTTTATTCAACGATTAAACATAATTTAAAACGAAAATTCGTGCTGAGAAAGATTTTTCATGTTTGAAAAACATCAAGATATTATCCTAGACGATTTTGGAATTTAACCAAAATCGAAATTTTGTAAAAAGAAAATCTAGAAGCAACTTGGCCATCTGTCACCTAAAATCTATTAAGTAAAGCATTATATGGCGTGTTTGGGCAGGAGGAGATATTGATGGATTCTCCATCAGAATCACGGTCCCACAAAACATGGTGTTATCTGACAGTTGTGTATTGAGAAGACAACGTACAAACACTTATCACCCTGTCGACAGCTTGTTCCTCCATTATCCGATAGGCACATATCAAATGGAAGGATTTCTTTCTTATCAAAAGAAATGCATAATTACGTAAGTCTCCAAAGGGGATTTCTTATTTATGCGTTTCTTAACTGTTTTGTTTTCTTCCAAAGACATGTTGAAGGACATATGTTTTGAAGCTTATTTTTGAAAGAAATAATTAAAAAATATTATTCCATATCTGTTATCTGAGTTGCAGGATGTTAATATCCAAGCAACACGCCCATTATTGGGTAAAAGTCCGATATTTAATTTGATATAATCTGAACATTGTTTAGGGAAATCTTTTTTCCTCTATCCATATTTACAGAAGCCAACATTAAAAAAAATTAGATACTCTTTTACAAATCAATTAAAGCAACTTAGACAACACTGATTTGCATATCCTCGAAAAACAGAAAATCAAAATTCGCTAAATCAAGGATTATCAAGGATCGTGTTCAGTAGAAAAGCAGTAATCTGTTTCTTTGAGCACTGTTGCAAAATTAATTTTGATTTTGAACTCCTTTTATGATTCTGTTATTTACTTACTAACTGAGATGTACTGCTTACTTTTTAAAGAGAGAGAATATAGTTGATAAAGCAACTGCTTCTCTCCTAGTAAATGTTTTCAAAAACGGAATTTGTTTTTTTTTTTTTTTTTTTTTTTTTGTTTTGGTTATTTTTTAAAATTTATTTCTATTTTTACATCAAAGTTTATTGTACTTTGAATCTATAGGTTCTTCAATTGCATGTCAAAAGTTTTGAGCAAAAACATATGCATATGAATATCATGTCATGGCTTACAAATTCCATCTTTTAAACGGAATGAATATTATTTTACTTAATTTAATGGCTTCATTTATACACAACATGGAGAAATGAGGAATATCCAAAATATCTCAACTCATAAAAAACTAAAATATTAAAATATCAGAAAAAAAAATATCGTTTGATCTCTTACATTAAAAAATCGATTTTTTTTTAAATGAAGAATTATTTTCATCATGGACAAAACTAGTAAATAAGAAATAAATATACATTTTGATTTCAAAACACTTGCTGATTTTAAAAGGAATATATTAAAATAGTGTCGAATCAAAAACTTTCTGCTAGCACGTGAGGGAACATTAATTTATACTTTCTTTTTTTCCCCTCAGATGAAAAGAAATAGGTGGGAGTGCTGTGTTGAAGATAATGCAGTTTTGAAGGAGTCAGAATACACTTAATTAGCCATTTTTATGTGCATATTTGAACATCTGTGTATCTATCGTCGATATCTTTTGACATTTTCCCAAACAATGGATATGATAAATAGATGTTCAATGTTTGTAACAGATTATTATGCAAAATTCTGCAAACATTGTTCATTTCCATAAAATTGATAAATTACATATCTGTCTTACTTAATGGATATTCACAACATTGCCGCACGGTGTAACAGCATTCTAAACAATGCATTTACATATATACCGGTCAGAGAAAATATTTCTTCCTAACCGAGAGAGGAATATTGCAACATAAATTATCATATAAGAGTGTTGTAAAACTTAGGGAATGTATTACAATAAGCTAGGACAAATTATTGATATATTTTTTATCATGAAATTTCTAACTTAATTTATGTTTGTTTGTTTTTTTTAAAGATGAAGAATGATGCATGAAATTTCAACATCGTATAAAATCTATTTTGCAATATTTCAGAAATTTGATATGAGAATATATTCATTATTTAAAAAGTCCAAAAGTATACATGTATTCCAATTCATGCCTCCGATTATAAGAAATAGAATATACGTCTATACGTAGATACCGCTAGATAGCACTAAACCTTTGTACAAAATATTAACATTTAAAAAAAACATAGTTGTCAAAAGTACCGCGACTAAATCAATGACAAGCGACTGAAGGCGACCGACATCAGATCTTATTCATTGGTTCGCACTTCATATCTCGATCCTGTTTGGGGATTGTGGCTGAGATAAGGATGGTTGAATTTACTAGATTCTAGACAGGCTTCTCTCATTTAAGGGGGGACCTATGTCCGAAAAGTCTTTGTGTGAAATTTTCAAAACTTTGACATTTCTTTCCTGACCACTTGCTCTTAATTTTTAAGTATTAAAAACAATACCTTTATATGCTTATTTTAACACAGGAGCACGTGCAAAAACAGTGTGAATTGCTAAAAATAGATTATTTTCAGACATTATTGTTCTACCCCAAATATGCGCTAAAAGAGCCAAAAATGTCAAATCGCATTAAAAATCAATAGGTATTTAATTTATATGACTTGTATCTTTAAAATGAAGATAAATTCATTGTAATTCATCTCGCATGAAAAATTATAAGGGAGCACAATGAAAGTATCACCCCCGTTTTTCTTGTCGTGTTTTTTACAATTCCGACATGCATAACAGGTAATATCTTAAAAAGTCTTTGTGTGAAAATGTTGTAATTCATATTTTTGGAAAGAAATGATTCATCTCTTTATTTTCACAAAGAAAAAAGTATACCTTTATGATAAAATAAACGAGAAATATGACGTTTTCTTTTATTTTCGCACTCTTGTGTCATAAAAATTGACCTTTTTGCACTAAAAGAATGGTAAGTAAGCACAGTTAACCATATGAATATAAGACTTTTTTGCGAAAAACGAGTATTTTGTTTTGATTAGAAGCAATTTAAACAGATTAATACTTTCTTCTTCATTCCAATCATTCTGTTTCTCTCCTCCCCCCTCCATTTCCCCGTCAACAACCAACACCTACAAGAACCTAGGAATGACTTTATGCAGTAAAATCTACATGGCAAATATAGGTAAAAGCACATTTCTTCATTTTTTCTTAGTTTTATCCAGAAAATACAATTAATGGTACACATAAAATTAAACATATTTCCCTGATTTATGCCGCTTTCTTTGCTGAATTTTATCTTATCTTTTTGCACTTATATATCAGCATATCATCCTTTAAACTTTCCTATGAAAGGAAGAGAATTCTAATATTAACAAGCTCCATAATTCAAATAAAACTGTTATTAATGATGAATAAATTTTCTTTTTGTAAATTGTGTACGTTATTGATCATTAACAACTTTATGCCAATATCACAGTTGCAAAAGTCAACAGGTAAAAACAAACGTCGCTATTGTGACGTCACATAACGCTGCTTTGACGTATAACGACATAGGTCCCCCCTTAATACATGGTAAAAGATATACGAAGGAATCGAAGGTACAAGTCAAGAGGTTACAACTTGTGAGCGAGGCAATATGAAGGATGACAGAGGCTCGGAAACAAGCATGATCGATGCAGTTTCTGGACTGCTGCATATCACTCAGATATCGGAAGCCATTGCAATCTGCTAAGTTGCATGGACGATAATAAAGTGTACCGGGGGGGGGGGGGGGGTAATAAATGGAAATGACTTGAACAGTGGCAGGACAGCATTTAAAATTATTTTTGCAGGAGATATCCATTATTTTCAATCTTTATTGAAATCTGAAAACTTGAGTAAAAGACCTGAACGAAAGTCATGGTTTAAAATTGATGGTTTCGTGTTAATTATGTTCTTTAAAATTTTGAATTTACCTAACATGCTTAAAGCAAAAGAAGATGGGGGACAAGGCGGGCAGAATGCCTATAGCGTTATATGTTTTACCCTAGCAATAAAAATCCGAACAATCTTACTGCTTTGAGAGTAACGCGCTAACCACTACATGTATGCTACACGGCTCATGACGATTGTGGGTATTTAAATCATGTTTGTAATATGACCCTTGACTTAAGGTACATTGATACTCTTATAAGAGAGATAACTCTTAAAGACATAAGTTTCTCTTAATCCTTTATAAATTTACCAAGTTGAAGTGTCTTTTTTATCCAATTTTGCACCGCAAGCTATGCTATAATTGCTTGTATTTAACTTGTAAAATACATTTCTTTTGGAAAATCATTTAAGTTCAAGCAGCATTTTATATGAGTGAGCAGAGGGTTTATGAACCTTAATGGACTTGAAGTATTTCTTGGAAATATGTGAAATGTTTTGCCATAAAAGTGTACTTTTAAGGTATAGTGGGTCTTCGCTCCATGTTTTTTAAAACCACAAAATGTATATTTTAATATTGCTAACTTTTAGAATTATCTTTCAAAAAAATGGAGAGAAGACCCACTCATATTAAAATAAATGTTAAAGTATTAGAAAATGATCGTTTTTGTTCTTTTTAGTGTGTGCATGCTTTTCCATGGGCATGTATTTTCAGTTTTTGAGGGATTTTTGTAAATTGTACAGATTTTACATTTAGTATACTTTAGTATTAAATGAAATATCAAATAAAATTTGGATATAATTGAGATTTATTTTTTCACTTCTTATCTGTCGATCTATAAGCACTTCGCCCGCCTTACCCCACCCCCCACCCCCCATCTTCTTTACAATATGATAATATAGAAATAGTTTGATTTCATTTCAAGTTCATCTGCGAAAAAGGAAACAAAAAAAATATCAATGGTTTCTCGAAAAATTCTCCGAGGAACTTAAATAAAAGAAAAACTATACTGATAAAGACCCCAAATAAATAAGGAGGTGTGTGCTTTTCATTCCCTGGGAATTATTAAAACTGTTCCATACAGAACATAAATTATATAATGAAAATACATCATCGATGTTTGTCATATGCAAATATAAAACAAGATTTTTTTTATTTTTATACATATTATTTAGTTTTACGATTGTCATTTTTATAAAACAAAATTATACATGTATATCAAAATTCTATCCAAGTATATCATATAATGTAAAAGTACATGTACAAATAAATATTACACATATTATAAATAATCTTTTAACGAGCAATAAAAGCATATCACAGCTCAGTCATTGAATACATTATGAGGCAGTACAGGACTTAGGACGTTACCCCGACTTTACCAATCAAATCCAAAGTCATCATTGTACATAAAGCCATGACCTAAAAGGAAAAAAATAGTCAATAGAATCTTTTTAATATTGGCAAGAAAAGAGTGAATAGTAAATCACATATTATTAGCAAGATTCCCATACTTCTGGCGTCGATTCGGAGGAATTAAATAATGTATTAATAAAGTTTCGAATTCGTAAATTTGGCTTTTAAAATTTGTACTAAAAGTCTCGTTAAAATAAAATTTGCGATAGGGTGTATTATGGTACATTCTGCTAACAAATAAGACCTAGATTTTGCTTTGAATGCTATTTGAACCCCGACCCCTTTTCCTTTTTTATTGTCGCTGTTTGGTCTTGAAAACATATGTAAATTCAAGAATTTATAAGTTAAAATAATTTAAAATACAAAAGATAGAGAAAGCACCTCCGAAATATTAACTTTTCAACTTTTGGGGGGAGGCTATCATCCCCCCTTTTAAAAACATTACTATACTGGCCTAAGTGACCTGAGATCTTACCGAAGGACGGCTGGTAAAAATGCCTCTGAGGAAGACGGCGCTGCCTTGTAAAGCGAGTGGATTGTCTTAGGCCCCAGGTTGGCCTTGCCTGCCTCCAAGTTGGTTGTTGAAATCTGTGCATTCCAAAACCAATTCTATCGTCGTACAAATCATCGCTCCATGCATAAGGATTGTAGAATCTGTTTTCAAATCTATCATCGAACCTATCGTCTGATCCCCAGAATTGACCGTAACAGACACAGACGACACACGCCAAGATAATCAGACGGCAATCCATGGTTATCCACTTGGTCCGTTAGAAGAAAGAAACAGTTCTGGATCCGAAAAGGTTTACCTTAAATAGACCTCAATCAGTCATTGATTTTACCGGCTATAACCTGTCGCCTGTCAATCAGGGCCCAATACAGTGGTCATGTCTCGCCTCTGGTCCTGATGACCACAGCTGGTGACGTCACTCAGTAAGCGACATCTCTATTAAGAACAGGGGACTTATTTAATATGTACTGATCCGGACAACTTATATGTAATTAAGTATATAACTGGCTAGACGATTTAATAGATTTCAGGATGTTTGTGTTTTTAATGTATGTTTTGAGGCTTTTAAATTAAAAAAAAATGGGCATGTATTTTGATTCATTTGGAGACGAACGTGACTCCTTTTTTCTCTCGTGTTAAAGGATAGTTACTCGAAAAAATTATATATGATAGAAATAAAACAGGCTTTATGAAAACGCATATTATTCACTGTGAAATTTTCATTCTTAAAATTTATATCAAAATATACATTTAGAAAAATTAAAGATTTGAAGCACATAAGAGAAGTGGAATTGTTTTGTGAATATAGCAATGTTCGTCAACTCATGCATGAATGAATTAATTCATCAATACATGTATTCAGAAAAATTTGAAAGGAAATTTTGTCATAATATTTAAGAGAATAGCTTTTGAAAAAAATTAGCTTGGGTGTGTTTTTTCAAAGAAAATTTGTGTTTGATCGTGAAGCTAGAAAAATGTGAAGGGGGGGGGGCAAGCAGCTTCAAAATAACAACTTAGTATTAAGCTACATCAAACCGACTACCCCACCCTGTGTAATAGGGCATGTTTTTAAAGATCTAAATGTATGTAATGTGTATAATGAATTTTATTTAGCCTAGAACAACAAATTACATGTCATGTCAATTTTGTTTTTACTGCCACACATATTCATAGATACAGTGTATATGCAATTTTAAAGAGCAACAATGCTGTACCACGGTCAAGTATTAAATATGTATAAAATCTTTTTATCATTCAGTAGAATTGTTGATGTATAGTACCTGTCCAACACCCTGCAGCCCGCGTGTTTTTAAGAAAGCTGTCATCGGTCCTTAATCTCGCCTTCAGAATACTTTTTCTTTAAAAATAAAACTGTGATTTTGTTACTTCTCCGCTCAGATTCTTGTTTTCTTTACACCCCCGGGGAAGCTGTCCTTATCATAAAACAGGAAATTATAGCGCTGAATTTACATTTTCTGACAATTTCCTGCAATCATAGGATTCTTTCTTTTTGTGGTTTGCGGTATTGGTCATCAGTAAATATAGCAGATCTTATATAAAGGCCTATTTGATAATAAATCAAATGTTATGTTATCTGTACCATTTTGTCATATCAGCATGATATATGAATCTACAGAATATTAATGTAAAGACTTTATTTAAGAAAACGCGCTTACAAGTATGAAATGAAACATTGGGAGAAAAACTGCTCTTTTTAATTGAACAATTGAGAAAAAATGCATATATAGTAATGCAAATGCTGGAGATAACGAACAGCGTTCGACCACTGCCCCACGCACGGATCTAGAGGGGGTCGGGGGAGGGGGGGGATCTGAGTTGGTTTTTTAACGGAGTTTAGAAAAATTCATGAATCCGCATCTGTAAAACAAAACTTTTATTTTACATACGTGTATCATAGTGCAAGAAAAATATATGTTGGGAAATCAACAATTTTTTTTTTAAACCTTCGTGTTCATTGTACTTAAAAGTCGGATATAAAAAGTACATTTACATAGGTTTTCACATTTAGACATTGAGTTTTCAAGCGCCCAAATGATAATGACTATTCTGCAATATTATCCAATCAGAGAAGGTTTCAGATAGAAATTACACGTAAACAAATCGAACATGTGAAAAGACTTTTCATTGGACAAATCCCCAGGTTGCAAGGTTCACCAACATGGACGTGAGTAGGAGGAAAACCTCAAAGTTGAAATGATCCAGAATGTAAATCGTGCTTCTTGAACGGATAATTTAGTAAAAGGTAGAAATATTTAATCATGTTCTTGAATATGTAACAAGCATTTCACACAGTCTGAAAGACAAGGGAAGAAGTTGACATGAGAATGTCACGATATCGAATTTTTACTTGTTAGCATATTGAACATGTTGAAATGTAAATTTTAACAACATGTTGTAGGGATCAGAATGAAAAAAAGTTTATGGCTTTGAAGATAAAGATTAAACTCTAGTTAAATTAATGCACTCTAAGTTAGACTTCATAAGACCATGCATTGGAATGAACATACACTACACATTAACAGAATATTGCAGAAATTAATAAATAACCATGATAATCTTTATAATGCTGTGAAAAATGAAATAATAAGGTGTGTGTCTGTGTTTTATAACACGAAATGCTTAAACTGTACTGAAGTTTGGTGTATCTGCTATAAAGCCCTACTGTCTGCAGAAGATGTGTACACTGATCACAGAGTTGCCAGGAAATCAATATACACCACTGCCACAGATACATGTGAGAATATTCAGAAGTAGAAACTCAGTAGATCACACTGAGAGTGTTGATTAATGACCATTAGGCATCCATACAAAATAATCCATTATTGAACCGGATTCTCAACTTGAAACGAAGAATTGCAGGCAGTTTTTCTTCCTTTCTTCCGTATTTCATTTTTCATGGCAGAATTTGAGATGGTGTTCTCATTTGAAACAGACAAACAGACAAAACACAGCATGCAGGGTCATTACTTGTACTTTTCTATGTATAAAAACCTCAGTGTGCACTGTGGAGATTAAATCTTAAGTTGCCAAGACAACAATCCAAAGACGAATGGCCTTTACATTTCCTTTACTTTTCAATCTGTAGGTTAATGAATGCATTATTTTCTGGAATTGTTATACATGTATATGTGACTTCCACAAATTTACAAAGTGAGACAATCTTTTTTGTTCTCATTTGATGTACTCCCACATCTGACCTATATTTTTCAAGGTGGGTTGGTTGTGTTTTTTCCTTTGAATTATCAAAATTAATACTGTCTGACTAAATATTATTAAATTTGCAGATATGCTCATTTGTTCCTTTTGAAATTGTTACATAGGTTTTATTGATGTAGTTTATAATTTAGTTTATACCTTCTGATAATGTTTCTTGAGTCTAGATTAATCACATCCTTGCAAGACAACAGAACATGCAGAAGTCATCTGAAATCATGAAGGACACAGTGTTTTCCCTTTATTTCAAAGCCTGAAAGGGAATGGCTAGAGATGATCAGATCACTTGTAATAGGTTTTCTGATGAGGTTAATGCATGAATCTCTGTGTGACCTAAACAATTAAATTTTGATAATTTTTATTTCTATGTGGCATTTTAATCCTTTATATTGGTCAATTTGGCAGGTAGACTTAGTAAAAAAAACAGTCCTATGACCTTGACTGATGTTAAAAGTTAGTTATTTTCTGATCATGCTGATTGTGTAATTTTAGATGCTGTCTCTAGAGGAGGGATGGAAGTGGCCGGCCCTAGCCCTGTTCCTATTTTTAGTAACGTTTGGGTCCGTTGGAGTTCTGAGTTTGGGATACATTATCTGTATAATGATTGGGTGAGTACTGGGCTTTGTTTTGTATGCATACGTACTGTAACGTACATCATGTACATGATGTGCAAGCTCTATTTCATATGTTATCTGTCATCTGATTGGATGAATAATATGAATATTATTACAGTATCTTTAACACACGTATCTCAAGTACATGTACCATGTATATATTGAAGTGATTTTGAAGTCCAAACCCCTCTGGTGTTTTACCATGGATATTTTAAATCTTTGGATATCTTGAAGTTTTTTCTTGGTCCAATTGAGTCTGAGATAACAAAATTTGACTACATAATCATGATCATAAATGATACTAATATGTACTATGTAAATGAATATTTATGATAATTTTAAATTCAGTGGTGAACATGAAAGTATTTAAAGAGATAAAAAAAAAACAAAAAACGAGTGTTCCTCGTTGAAAGTAAGAATTTATAAACTGTCTTTTAAATGTTTTTAAATACAAAATCTTTGACCTAGTTTTAAGCTCACACTTTTTGAAAAAAGTGTTAATGAATACACATTCTGTAGAGCAGTAGGTATAAATTATTTATGTGGAGGGATATTTTGTGGCTGATTTTCTATTGGTTATTGATGGGGTTACATGAATGAACTGCTAGTTCTTCAGATCACATACAACATATACACACTATCCTCTAAGGTATCGCCTGAATAAGTAAGAAATAGAGGACTATGAATTAATCAGCTGATGTCAAGATTGGTGTGTGTATGTAGGTGAATGATCAGATAGGTCTAATAAAAACTAATTGAATTAACGAGTCAATAGAATAGGCAGATACTTCATGTAAAGTTGTTTGAACGAATTAGTGAATGTATGTGTCATAATTGATTTTCAAGTGTGGTGAATGAGGGATACTTAAATTTTTGCATTAAATGTAATTTGATTAAGCAATCTACGAATTTTAAGGAATTAAAAAAAACAACAAAATATTGATGAAAAAAAACCCACAGGTTATATTTTACAATATTGTATTAAACATGTGTAATATGAAGAGTGCTTCCATGAAATTACTGTTTGTGTACATAATTTGGCATACTCAGTATTCAAAATATAGTGCAATCGATTACAGTACATGTACATAACTTGGCATATTCAAAATACAGTGCTACCACTGGGTATGGAGTTGTTGGAGGAATCATGAATTAGCACCACACACACCCATGTCATATAATGAAGTTCTTTTTTTTAAGCACACTTACGGTACATTTGATGTAACATTAACATGATACATGCTGTTACAAACATAATGTTGATACAACTAAACAGTATCATTTAGCAACAGAACATACACACATGATACAGGAAGAGATACAGCTGTAATTACATTTGGTTGTTTGGTTGAAATTTGATATTAACCAAAATGAAGGAAAGATTTAAATTTTTCTTTTTTTCTAATTCTTCAAAATTTGGTTTAGTAAATCTTGAAAAACAACTGATGAAAAAGTTATTTATATCATGAATACAGATTACTAAAATGGATAATTTTTTGAAAACGTATTTGGATAAAAACATCGTAGAAATTCTCATGACTATTGTATACTTTGTTACAGTGGACTAGTTATGACCCTGTACTATGGGAGACAACTCTCGCTATCCTCACTCACTACAGAGTTACCAGACTTGACGAGGTCCAGACCAGGCATTCTTAATGTAAGATATTCTCTGTGTTTCTTTGTATGACTAATGATTTAAAAGGTTATAACGAAGTCACACAGTGATTTTTGGCTATATCCGTAATTCGTTATAACCGTATAAGAAAGTAATTAAATTTATACAGCTCAGGATCCAAGATGACTTCGCTATATCGCAATATCCGTGTTCGTACTAAACGAGTTTTGCTGTACAGATATTAAAAAGGTAGTTATAGGTAAGGACTAAGGTGCACACAGTGGATTTTGGGTGAATCTTATTTAATTTGTAAAACTGGATTGCACTGGTACATCAAGTTTTTGATTTTTGTGAATATTTCATTGTAAGTATGTCAGATAGAGGATTCATTTACATGTAAATTGTGATATATGTCCTTGTTTTAAGATGATGCTATTTTATTCCTAGATTCATTTAAAATATATTGCTCTTCCTTTTTTGGCTGTATATTAATTTTCTTCATCAGGTCGTGAACAAAATGGAGTCGTCTCCCCGAGGGAAGAATTTTGACCGGAGGATGACAGGTGCGAGTGTCATAGACGAGGCACTTCACGAGGTACTGATAGAATAGCATTCACTTTGTCTAGCAGCATACTTATTTTTTTCTATTTTATACTTCAAAATATTAAAGTTTAATTTTTTTTATTATTGTAAAAGCATATATTTTTGTGGGAGTTTGAATTTGCTTGAGACCTGCAAATCTACATGTTTGTCCATCACAAAATGTAAAATTTCAAATCTATAACTATCCAATAATTGTTAGTCAACAAAATCATATCCCCATTATCCTATACTTTTTCTTCAAAATTGAAAAAAATCCCCCCTTTGAAATAATATGTGATTTTACAGTTGAATATAGTTATTACCTTAAAATGTCTTGTAGGTCCTGACCTATGCTGTTAAAGATTACATCAAGTCCTGGTACAGACAAGTGTCTGATCACGACGGCTTTATCCTGGACATCAGACAGTGTGTCCAGAAACTGACCATTACATTTGCTTCCAGGTAAGAATGGTACCTCATTGGGGGAAGGGGGGTAATGTCTCTAGTTAGCCAGTTTTCTCTCTTTTTCAAAAAAAATTTATGAGTTAAACAATGTTTTGTATATCATAGTGTGTGTAATATCAAAGTATTGACTGTAAAGTCACGAGTTCTTTTAATCCTCTCATGTTCTGGATTTCCAGTAGTAAGAGGGAGGTTTGCAGCAGTTATTGAATAGAGCTAGGAGTTTTATCTGTTACAGTGGGAATTTAAAATGCATGTTAATAAGATACATGTATTCAGTGCTATTTTTTTTTATATCTGTAGAACAAAGGATGTGGATTGGATGCCATTTTTCTCTCAGAGACTTGTGGACGACTTTGCTTCACATCTACGATTGTACAGACGGGCTCGGGAGCAAGCAACTGTACCTCAAACTGATGGTAAGATGTACACTATATACATATCTCATAGTTATGCAGGCTGAGACAATCATGGGATTAGATCACTTTACCTGAATAATGTGTTATTCTGCCTCTGTTAAAAATCTTGGAAATTTCATTTTATCTTCTATATACTTATCATTTCTAAAGAGAGGAAAGGCATGAAATACAAGAAATAATACCTGAAGTGAGAGACCAGAAAACTGTGTTTTCACTAAACCTTTCAAGGTTTTGATGTCACATATCCACTAGACATAGTTTTAATGTAAACTCTTGTACTTTAAATTCTAAAAAGATTAGCTTCTGTTCTGCAGCTACTTTAAAATCACTACTTTTATGTTGCCTGCTGATATGATATTGTTAATATGCACCCCTTGTGACCAAGTGACCAGGTAAAATCAATACCACCCTCCATGTGGTTAATTGATATAATAAATTTATTATTGATATAATGTCAAATTCTACACACTGTTTTCACTTGACCTTTCAAGTAGCCAAACAATTGATGTCACATATGCACAAGACGAAGTTATTATGTAAACAATTGTTATGGAATTGAAAATTAAAACAATTTAATTGTCTTCATACATGTACTCTGAAATCACTAATTTTTGTGGAATTTTAATTTACATTTTTTCATGGTCTGAAAATTAAGACCCATGAACAGATGAATTAAAATTTTATACTGCAGCATCATGTTTCTATATAATGACAAAATCACATCCTTTGAGGTTTGAGGAAAATTGTTCAAGTAATTTTTACATGTTCATTTGAACTTTATGTAAAATTTGTTAATAACACTATGTTGAGATAATGATTTTCCACTACATATTCATTTGATCTACATGTATCTCTAACACCAACATCTTGAATATATGTGTATCTTTGTACTAACATATATTTTTTTACTCAGACACTTATGAAGAGCAGGTTCAGTCAGCTTTCTTTGACTTAGAGCTGGCTATGGAGAAAGACAAGTGTAGAGACTTAGTGTGTCTAGATCCCGAAGCCGAGAAACGTAAGTCTTGGGAGAATTATGGTCTCAAAATACTGTATGTGTAATTACAAAAGAGGGTTTCATATTTTAGCTGCTTTGGCACAGGCAATGATGCTGTAATTCATAAATACAGCTAAGAAATAATTTATGACAAAGACATGCGGCACTAATTCATGTTTACTTCAACAACTGTGTACCCAGTGGTCATGGTGATTGCACTAAATTTTGAATATGCCAAATTATGTACATGTTCAGTATGTACAAATGTACTAGTAATCATGGTTATTTGGAAATCTCGAATTCACTGGGAAAAAATTTTAAAAATCACATTGAGTTCATGTCACTGACATTTCGTAAGGTGAACTTGGAACAACTTTGTATTTACGTTCACAGCTCTATTCATTGGTCGAATTTGTTATCTTTTTTTTTTCAGAGTACTTACAGAACCTGAGTGAAGTGCTTTTATTCCTCCTTCTTCCACCAGATGACTTCCAGAATAAAACATTTAGATATATTCTGAGGGTAGGTATAATGTGTTGATTCACAAATAGAGTAATGGGAAAAAATGGTAATTAGATTTGCTCTATCACTTTCTGATTATTGAAAAAGGCAGTTTTCAAGATTATTTCCTCCAGGGCCAATTCTTTTAAGTAATATATTATATATGGGTTTTTTTTTCTCCTGCAGGAAGTGCTAGTCAATGGTATATTTCTCCCCACCATAGAACTACTGTCAGATCCCGACTATATAAACCAGCTGGTGGCATGGTTGGTGAGTATAAAAACACCCACAGTCATACATATATTGAGATAGACTGCTCTTTTAACGCCTGTATATGTTGTACACATAATGCTAAATTCAATGTATAATAGTCATGGAAAAAAATGTCTTTACAGTGCAAAGATGGTTCCTTTACAAATGAGACATTCCTGAATGTTATTAAAGCATCTCACCTAGTGGAAGAACTTGAGGCGGTAAAAGAAATCACAGAACAGAACATTGCTAAGTGGCGCTCAAAAGACATGGGAGGGGATGATGGTAGGTCATACAGTTATTTAAGTACAGCTGAAATTCGATCTCAAACATTAATATCTGTGTAATTTTTTACCTTCTTCAAACTTTTCACTTTTTCATCGTCAAGAACACCTTAGTGAGAAAAAAATTAAAAATTATTACTAATAGAATGTTAACTTTGATTGCAGAGGAGGAGTGGGTTGACATTAGAAGTTCTAATAAGGTCAACCAAAATTTGGGAAACAAGCCTTGATTATAATAAACTTGATATTAAATACTTTAAACTTTTTTGTATAGTCTCTAAGAAATTGACTTACATAAGAATGTAATTTATTCACTAGCTTGCAATGCCTTAAAACATAAACTTCATGTAATTAAATGCATCTTTCTAAATTTTTTTTTTTTGTACAGATGCTGAGATTAAGCAAAAGCTGAACAGTTTAATATTTGTTAAAAATATATGTGAAGGAAGGATACGACGAATTCAGGAAGGGGGGATAGAGGATATCGAGGAAGTAAGTCCACAGGAAACAATCAGGACATGTTTTGTCTTCGTTTGTCTTGGCTTGTTATAGTAAAAAATTAATAACATTATTCTCTTCATCTCAGTTGTCATGAAAATTTACTTTCAGAATATAGAATGACAATATTTGTTCATTTTGAAACTCCCATTACAGTGTAGAATGAAGGAATCAGTAGAATGCCATTGATTTTGTGTATTGATGTGAAAATTTTATATTGATAGGTGGAAAAAATTCCTTTGACATATAACACATCAGTGTGACAGTACTATTTAAAGACTGTGTTTTTAATTTTCAGCCTCCTGATATATGCAGAGCCAAGAATATATTTGTACTTAGCTTAGATGAAATAATTGAAAATAATATTGCATTAGCTGTATTTATAGGTAAGATTATACCTTATTTAAAGACATTTGATGCAAGTTCTGTACACTTCTAAAATGTTTTTTAAAATAAGTATGATTATTTTCATTTGCTATATAATTTTTGAAGTGTAAATAATCTAATAGTACAAACTTTACATCCTTCACTGAATTTTTTTCAGAATTTATGACAAATGTTTGTGGACAACAGTATCTTTTTTTCTATTTGAATGTGGAGGTAAGTCTGTTATATAGATAGAAGGAACAATTCAAATTTTCAACTGGTTTGGATGAGTCCATCACCAAAAAAAAATGTTTGGTTGCCCTCTCTCAACGAACTTGCTAAAATGGCTTGCTGAAAACTTATTTTAACCTCCAGAAACAATTAATTTTTCATGCAATCTGGAGAAAAGATTTTTTGAAATGCCGACCAAAATTTTTCATCCTCAGTTGGTAGAGGGCAGGCAAACATTATTTTGAAGTTGAACAGGGTCTGAATCTTTGGTATTATTTACTTGAAATGTATACTGATTTCAGTTAATTGCAGTAATTTTTTAATGAGTCAATTTATTCCTTTGTTTCAAATGTACACATTAAGGTTTATAAACCTTCTGCTCACTCAAATTAAATGTTGCTATAACTTTTATGATTTTCTGAAGGAAATGTGTTTTATTTAGTAAAATACAAGTGCAAACAATTATGTCATAGTTTTCGAGGAAAAATTATTTTAAATTGACAAATCTATAAAGGAATAATAAATATTTATGTGATTTAGAGTTATCTCTCTTATCAGAGCAACAGTGAACCGTAAAGTATTTTTTTGACTGCATTATCTGTAGTTATAACCCCTTTATTGTCAGGGATTCCGGACGGCTGCGGGACAGCAGGTAATGGCTGCTCACCAGAGGGCCATGAATGGAGTCTCCACTGAGGCTGACCTCGAATCTTACGACGGGCAGCCATGATCATATATGACCAATATTTATCTGATAAGGTAGGGTAATATATGACCAATATTTATCTGATAAGGTAAGATAATGTAATACCAATATTTATCTGGTAAGGTAAGATAATATACAACCAATATTTATCTGATAAGGTAAGATAATTTACTACCAGTATTTATCTGATAAAGTAAAATAATTTACGACCAATATTTATCGGAAAAGGTAAGATAATTTATGACCAATATTTACATGTATCTGATAAGGTGAGATAATGTAAGACCAATATTTATCTGATAACGTATGGTAATTCACTACCAATATTTATCTGATAAGGTAAGATAATGTATGGCCAATATCTATCTGATAAGGTATGATAATTCACTACCAATATTTATCTGATAGGGTAAGATAATGTATGGCCAATATCTATCTGATAAGGTAAGATAATGTATCAGAAATATTTATCTGATAAGGTAGATAATTTAGGACTACAAATATAGATAGAATATATAAAATATACTGTATAAAGGTGATATATGACTATCCCTCACAAATCATTGTCAACAGTGACTGCACTGCCATTGACAATGGTTTTCTTGGAGGTGAAAATGTTCAATGTTACCCTCAACTACATGCTGTACAGTGTATTTATAAATAAGGGAATAAAACTTACTTATGTATGTTACTTGGACAATTTTTTTTACTGCATGAGCATGTGTCATTGTGTCCTTATTTTTACAGGGAACATCTAAAATCAAAATAGACAGTGATATTACGAGAAGAACTCTACAAAAAATTAAAAGTAAAAATATATCAGAAGACTTATTTGATGAGGCTCAGTCTAAGGTGAGTGGGGCAAAGAAACTTGTCTCTTGTTTGTCAAGTTATACAGCGATCAAATGGCATTCTCTCATGTTGTGTTGCCATAAAAAAGTCAGAGTATCAGTGTAAGAGTACTGTAAACCAACTAATATTCATGTGCAAGAAATATCCACGAGTTCTGCAACCTACTCTGCAACATTTCGTTTAGTATTTGTAATGAATGTCACTTCAGTCACGAAAATTAATCGCTGTAGATTGATTTCAAATGAAGGAATAAAAAATTATGCAAATAATACTTGGTTAACAGTGTTTTAGGTACATTTTACAGAATTAAGGTCAAGATCTAGAAAATGAAAGGTGCCTACAGATTTTTCAAATTTAAGAAATTAATTCTTTAATGATGCTTTATAATATTAGCTTGGTCAAAATAGATGTTTCGGGGCATAATTTGGAGAAAAACAAGATGAAAAACCATATTATAAACTGTTATTTTCAATGAAAATGGGAGTTTTTTTCCATATCAGGCAAGGAAAATTAATCCTACAGTTTTTCTAATTTGTATGTTCTTGATTTCAAATTTAAAGGAATAAAAAATTGCACGAGATAATTGACTTATATTTATTGCGCACAAAAGAGTTTTATTTCTCCATGTTTTTAAAACTGTAATTTCAAAATATTACTAACCGTGTGTTCATTTCTTTCGCTGTTTCCACATCCAAACATTCCTCATAATTGTTGTTAATAGTCCTCCAGGCCCAGATATTGTAATCATCGAACATTTCGCTTATTTATACTGCCATTTTGGTTTCAAAGATAATTCGGTCCAATATGCTTCGTTCAGATGTCAACTACGAGAGTACTTGATTGAGGATAAAGGAGTTTTTTGAAATCTTTCCTTTTTTGCAATTGAGGTAAGAATTTGGATAATAATAAATATTTTTTTCACAAATAATATATTTTTTTCAGAGCTACAGATGAAACTTTTCATGTGATTTCAAATTGAATTCCAGTACTTTATTTTCTACATTAAAATAAAGTATTGAAAGTATATAAAAATGCAAAAAGTTATTCTAAATATTTAATGCCCCATGAAAAGGATATTAAAAACATTTTACAAATATTCATGAATGTACATGTATTGTTTAGTCACTAATTAAAATGATATTATATAGAAATACAATTAAATATTTAATGTGAGAATGATCAGGGTCTAGATATTGATAGATAGCTTAAGGAAATAGAAAAAGGGGGAAATAACTCTTTAAAATCCCGCCTTGTCTGTTGTAGGTGTATCAGATTCTTCACTCTGAGCAGTATTATGAGGCGTTCCTACAGAGTCATGTCTACCTTAAGATGTTACAAGAGATGGGGGTCTCCAAACCAGACAAGTCTGAAGATGGCGACACCAGTAGTCTGGACGAGGGTAGGTTACCAGTCAAAATAAGAACCAGTAAATTAGAGTTGCTAGATTCTTTTGAATTCACAAATTTGAAAAGGGTAGGGAAGGTGTGTTGTGTAAAATATTATTTTGGTGCAGATTACCTCATGTTCTTTGCCCTTACAAATGTGTATCAAAATTTGACAAAAGTGGATAGGATAGTTTTAAGTGGTATTGGTCGAAACCCTTTGTGTTAGATGTTCAGTAATGATAAAACTGTATGTCTTAATTGTCATTCTTAAGTAATATTGACCTGTCTTTTGTTCCAGTGCCCCGGATAATATGGTTTAAAGTATGTTTAGTTGGTAATGGCCACTAAGGCAAATAGCATCATTGTCATGTGAACTGTATAACTAGTTTCTGCTTTTGCCCTCTTCTTAAAGCACGGAAAAATTAAGCTTTCAATTAAGAAAGTTATGGCTTATTCACTAAAAAAAAAATCTAATATTCTCTACCTTTTGAGAATGTTTGCATGTTGTAAAACACTTTACTTCTTCATATAGAAAATAAATTCTTAATACATACCTAATTTTTGTATGCAAGTTAAGACAGAGCAATAGCAGAAATAAATCTGGCAATGCTTGTAAATGAGGAACATTGGCATTTTGCATTTGTTGACTGGGTAAAGAACCATTTACAATGATACCATAAAGCTATCTGCAGTTGAAATTTTAGGAAGAAAATACACATGTTATAGACGTTTGATGTAGACTTTTTTTAACATGAAAATTTGTGATTTTGGTAAAGTTAGGAAAGAAGAAAGCTATAGTGTGAATTTGACTATAAACAATTTACACTGGAAAATGATGGAACATGGATATTTTTTTTAAACACCTTGCCTCAGGATGGAAGAGGGAAAATTTATATATTTTAAATCTTATTCTCACACAAGGTCCATTCTGTTGTTGTTGTTTTGAGTATGGTCTCATTGTGAATGGTTTATTTTTTGACATGCTTGATTATTTTGAACTGAAGTTATGCAAAACCTATTCTTTTGGTTTGGAGTTAAATATTACCATTAAAAGGTCATGCTATAATCATGAAATTATGACAATTGATAATTTTTTTTTATGAATTTCAAAAACTGAGTTAAACAGGAAAGTTAAATAGGCAAAATTTGTAATGTACTTGTGTTGCACCTTCAGTTTAATTTATTCAAGTGTTTTGCAAGATACCCCAGTCTGTCCCTAGGGGGAGCCCCAGTCTGTCCCTAGGGGGAGCCCCAGGCCTAGGTGTTGTTGGTGCATGCTGGTTGGTGGTTGTCATGGTTTGTGGAGATATACAGTGGAGTAGATGTCTAGATGATGCCCTCTGATTTTCCACTGGCTAACACAACATTGGTTGATATTACCATTATAAACAGCCCTGCCCTTTTAGAATTTCAATCTTCTACATGTATAAAGTTTTTATCATTATGATAAAGAGGAATCGAGTTATGGCACCAGAGAATGTTGACAGTGATATGGAGGCCGTTAAACCTTGGACAGAGAAATTATATATTTCTAAGACACCTTTGTATAAGTTGAAAATTTATTGAGAAATAAAGTATTTTTCCGTTTTCAGAATTTGTGTCATAAATTTCTTATTGAAAAAAAAATCATTGAATGAATTATCAATTTTTTTAATTATACAAAAACTTCCACCAGTATATTGACTATAATCAAGGAATGAGAAGACATGATTAAGGTGCTAATTGATAAACAAACAAAGTGCTGTTTACTCTTCATGTGGAGTCTCCATACAAGTGACAATAGGGGTTAATTATGAGCAGGCTTAAATTTGGGACTGCACGTTTTTTTTAAAACTTCCATTGAACAATGTCTCCATCATTTCTTATGAAAACATTCACAAAAGTTATAAGTTATGGTTTCAACCACATTGTATATTAAGAAAATTCCTTCCATGAATTTAAAGTTATTTAGTTTAAGAAATATACCAATCATCTTTCATAGAGTCTATGATAGACCCATCCCCCTTCCTTATTTGATTTTAAAAAAAATGTTAAACCGTCAGAAAGAATGACTTATCTTTTTATTATTATTATTAATTTCAATTCAAACACTGAATTAATTTTTTCTATCACAAATTTTCTTGGGCCGAGGTGTCTTTTATATGGACCAAGGTGTCAATAATTTTGGGCAGACCTGTCAGGGCCGAGGTGTCAACCGTCAAGGGCCGAGGTGTCGATGGGCCGAGATGTCTGTCTAGCCCATTTATTAGCCATCTGTCAAGACCAAGTGTACATTAAAAGTTGTTTTAGATTACACAGTAACTCTTTAAGTTAAAGAAAAAATGAAATTCTATATTTTTCTATAAGCTGGCATTTATATTGTAATGAGTAAAACATGTATACAAAGTTTAAGGAAAAGTTAATGTTGGTAAATTGTGGCCTATGGGCCTATTGTTTAAATGGTCAGATGTTAAGTACAATGGTAATTAAGGCATGTTGTAGTATTGTATTAGGGCTACATCCCCAGATAGATTGCAGAGTTAGGTCAAATAACTGGTGCACTAATATTGAATGTGTTGGTGCAGACAGCATGGTTCTTTTTAAAAAGTTGGCATTTTAAATTTTTAATTATTGAAAAAAATGTGAAGAATTTGTTTTGAATAATATACTGTATAATTTTAAATTTGTACATATCCTATAATCAAAAGAATAATAATTAAAATTCTAATTGCTCGAAGATGTATTTAATGTGTTATGAGGGTACATGTATAGGATTTTGAATTTGTAATTCTCTTAGAAAAGCACACAAAGAACTTACTTAAGTTCAGTTTCCTCAACAAATACTCCATGCTGACTGTATAATCTTCATATTGATATAGTACTTAGCTTCCTTTAGGAGGTTGAGTTGAGACTTATTTTATCAACAAAAAAAGAGGGTTATAACTGACTGGAAATTATATATTATTTAAGTGACAATGAATTGTTTTTCTTTTGTACTATATCAACTATTGCATGATACCTATATATATAACAAACAAAACCTAGCTTCTGTTTTTGCTTCTCATCAGATGCATCTACAAAGTCGGTATCGTCTGTCGGTGTAAGTTTTACTTTCAATTTCTACTTTTATATTGCTTGTAATTGTTGTCAATGTTAATTAATTGTAATTTATAAACAGTTTATTAATAATGAATCTTCCAAGTGAATTTATTTTAATCATCAAACCTTACTTTTATAAATTATTGATGATTTATATATAAAATTAATATAGTAAATGGTTTAAATTATACTGGATGTTATGTGAATTACATGTACTTCTGAAGGTATTTGAATTGTTGCTGTAAAAAATTGAATGAAGATAATTGTTTCACACCACTAAAAGAAAAAAATACCAGAGGATGGATCTACTTTCAGATGGATGATTCTGCTGAAGAATCTTCATTACCAAGGTCAAGGTCAGATTCACCTGTACCCATGGAAACAGTCATTACAGCTTTTATTTCACAAACAGGTAATCAATGTGCTTATGATAGCACCAAAGTAATACTGTCTGCCTTCAAAAGATGTCTATCATTTTATCCTATGTCATTGTCTTCAACATGTCAAAAAATTTACTCTTAAACATGGTTTGTTGTACATCAACAAAATAGAATACAAGTAGAAAGATTAAAGGGGGAGGAAATAAGCACCTCCTTCAAATTTACCTGGTATTAGAACCTCTGTCAATCATCTGACATTAAGCCTGGGATTGGATACTTTGATTTGATTGACATTACAGTTTGCTGCTGTTGTGTATATCTTGTGTACCTTGTCTGGAGATTTTACCGACCATCGAATTAACTTTCTAGGCTTTTGATGCCTGCACTGTATGCCATTGTGATAAAGAAGCCAAAATCGTTTTTTTTTTTCTTTTTTAATTCAATATTCCATAAATATAATCAATCTATCAAATTATTAAATAAATGACAAGAAAATCATGGCTGTATATAAATATTATAAATTTAATTTTATAAGGGAGGATTTCAGGCTTATATTACAATCGATAATTTTAATTTCCGTGTCAAAAAATGAAACGTACATTTATTTTTAATTAACAAAATAAACCGACCTGCGTTTGAAGCTAAATGAAATTATAAAATTATTTTTTAAAACAAGTACGACAACATTGTAACATTGTTCATGAGTCAAGCGAATTTATATTAATAAGCAAGACAAGCCTGTACGTGTCGCTTTTCCTTGAGACATGGTGACGAAGTTGCGGTATATTAATAAGTTTTAGAAGAGAAATTACTCGGAATATAACATCTTGCTTTGTATTTAATGTTTGAAATTAATAATGAATCCCAAAAGAAAAAAAACAATGCAGATGATTCTTTTCCTGTTTCATAGCTGTCGACAATTCTTTTTAAAACCCTTTAATCATTTTTACCGACCATGCGTTATGGAAAAATCAAGTAAGGTTTATCTTAAAAAACTATTTATGACAATAATATCACTTCACATTTTATTCTCAAAACATCGTTTCTAGGTTTCATTGTTATATACCGAGAGACATTTTATGATTCACTTTCTTCTTTCGTTTTGCGTAGCGATCTGTAATTTGAATTACTTCCCTTTTTGTCGGTCACGATTCAACGACAGATTTTGGGCTAAATTATTTTCTTATAACATTCATAAGAAACACACTGTATATAAAAAATGTCGAAAGGATTAAAAATATCAATTATTTTAAAAGAAAGAAATTGAGAAGGATTCTGTCTTATTGGCTGAACAAAAATGCTTTATTTCGCATTTCATTTCATGAGCTAAAAATGAAAAAAAAAAAAACGGCCTCGGTTTACAAAGTCGTAGGAAAACGCATACAGGTAATACACTTGGGGGCTCAGGTAACATCCTGTGTTTATGGGTAGTATACACAAGCCAGTGTCGTTCCCTCGGGGCTTCTCAGCCGCTTCGATTAAGCTCCACCCCACACCAAACTTACCTGAGGAAAACCGTACGGTTGAAAACCTCGGCCTTTAAAAGAAAATTAATTTTCGTGGCACTGCAATTAAAAAAAAATAAGAGGAACAAATCTGTGAAATATTCTCTCCTCTACAGTATTCTACAGTTTTGGAATGATTAGGGAATAAACATTGGAAGTAATAAAGAATTGACTAAAGTTATAATTAATCTAAAAATTAAATTTTGTATAGGAATTTATTTTCTGTTCAGTTTCTTGTCCTTTCCTTCAGTTTCTATCTCTGAAGACTATATGATGGATGCTCTGTTTCATTCACATTTGTATCTCAATAGGAGTCATGAAGGAATCGGATAAGAATTTGGCCAAGACTTACGCTGTTTTTGCCATCCGTGCGACAAAGATCTCGGGTGATGAAGAGGAGGTGTCAGAAACGTACAGAAGATACAGCGACTTCCACGATCTTCACATGTTAATCCAGGAAAAGGTGGGCACTGTAAAATCACATGTTTTCAAGGGGTCAAATTTTCGTGGTTTGAAGAAAATATATTGGTTCATGGGGATTTGATTTTGGGGTGGGAGAATTGTTCAGTAGTATTATATGTGAAAAATTGCATTTCGTGGTGGACATAAATCCTTTGGTCTCATCATACCATGAAAACCACGAAAATTAAACCCCCACAAAAATTAGTGATTTCACAGTACACTTCATATTTACCAAAGAAATGCTTCTTTAATAACTTTCAGTACAGTTAGAAATTCTGACTTCATGGTTTCAAGTCTGCTAAGATAATTGATTAGCTGACTTAACTTACCATGTCTATAATGATTAAATTAATTACATCGTATATGATTGTCCTTGTTTTCATTTTGTCAGTATCCTGAATTTCAAATGCCGCCTTTGCCTGGAAAAACTGTTCTCAAGAACATGAACAAAGATTTCTTAGAAAAACGCAGAAAGTCACCAGACACCTACTTACAGGTACTTGCATATAGAATTACTGAATTCCATATTTCTCTTTCTCATGGTCATTAGCAAAATTTTTAAATTACGTTGAATTAGAAGACTTAAGAAGAATGAGAATTTGAAGATTATGTTTGAAGCAACAAATTGACATGAGTTGTCTTTTGATATGACCTTCTTATAGCATAAATGTGAATTATTATGTTTTATGAAATGCAGATTTTCCAGTCCCATTTAAGTTGGTTAGAGATGACCTTTTTAGCCTTCTACAATCGTACACTGCATTCACAATCTGTTTCAATTCCTTTTTATGAATTTAAAAAAAAAATTAAGGGAAAGTTGAGTCTTTCTCTTACATTTTTCAATTGATTTCTTAGGCAGTTTATTATGATTGTCAATTTTATGCTATTATAAACTTCTTACATCTGTTTATGTTTAATCTTGACTACTAGTACATGTCATTACATTTAATGAGATGCTTTCTACATGTATTAATAGACTTTGATGAAGCCTGAGATTTGGGCCAAGTACCCCGGAATGAAGGAGCTGGTTCTCAAGTTTGTTGCCCCCGGACTGTGGGAAAAACACAAAAGTGATCTGGCTAGGAAGGTATCCAAAATTTATATTTTTAATTTTAATTAGAAAAGACATTATTATTTAAAATACTGTAGTTGCATTTTTTTCCAAGCCAGAATCTTTAGAATTTTTGTTCTAACAATTTTTTCATGAATGTTTTAAGCATTTGTGAAAATCTTTCCCAGCTTGCATCATATTGTTATGTTGCAGATGGACACCATAGTAAACCCAATCAAAACCTCTGTTAAATCTGTGGGCAGGGCTGTCTCCCAAGATTCCCTCACCATCAAAGGGGTAAGTTCTTACCAGGAAGTCAAATGTTTAAAACGTGAAATAATATATCAAAAGTCAACAAAATAAATAAAATTAATTCTTCAACCTTTCTTATAAAACAATTTGAGAATATTCAGTTTGTCTGCTGATGTAACTATTTTTTTTACCTATCCATTTGGAAATGAGGTGACCACTGACCAGAGTTCTCTTTCAATCTGAGACATACTGGAAGCTCAAACTCAGTTTGAACGTTTTTCCTTCTTTGCAAGTTGGGCAGTTTCAAAAAAAGAATGAATTAAAAAAATGTTTGAATGATTGCCTTGTCATAATTCAATGTTAGCAAAATTAAATGAGGCAAATGTACTGGACCAAAAATAACATGGGGCAAAAGAAATCTTGTATTCAATAGGTACTGGGGATACAATGTACATATAATTTATATTAGGATTTTGTAATACTTAATTGCCTAATCAGTGCTGGCCAATATGGAACTGGAATGATTTTGATGAAAACTTGATCTGAGTAAATCCCTACATTCATTCTTTCATTTAGGATTCCATTGACAGGCGAAGTGGAAAGGTTTCAGATGGACTTGATGTTGTAAGTTCATTATTAAAAATTTTTACAACTTTTTGAAAGTTGTGTGTATGTGAAATTAAATTTACCATATTACATATAACATTTTATATTTATTATGTGTAGACCTATATATTACCAATAAGAAGTTCTTGTTTTTCCATTAAGGTGTATGATCTATAAGTGTTTCTCCTTTTTGTGCTTTACTAGGATGCAGATAACATTCCATTAAGAGTCATGCTGCTACTGATGGACGAAGTCTTTGATTTACGAGAGAAGAACACGTGGCTACGTCGACGTATAGTCGCCGTTCTCAAGCAGCTCATCAAAGTGACATTCGGAGACTCCATCAACAAGAAGATCGTGGATTACGTTGAGTTTCTGACGTCTGCTGAGCAGATGGCGGAATATGTCAGAAAGTTCAGGTAAGAGTAACGCATGTCCAATACATTGTAATTAGGAAAATCTACATGAAACATATAAAGATAATGAACAGTATTCAAGATCAAAAGTCCATAAAACAAAACAAAATAGGAGCAGAGCAAACATGGACCTCAAAAACATTAGAGGTGGGATCAGGTGCCATGGAGGAGTGAGCATCCCCTGCCGACTGGTCACACCTGCCGTGTACTCCTTGTCATGATCGGGATATAACGGAAAAAATCTGTCATCAATTCATTGTATAAACAATGGACTAAAAATTAATATGAAAAACGTCAGTCAGCATTTGACTTGTAAAATTGTATTGTAAAATATCATATTTTTTCATGGTGTCATATTTTCATGTTTGATTAAAAATTATGGTTCTGTATAGATTTGATTTTGTGAATAATATTGTTTAATATTTATGAATATGACATTTTATATTTTGGTGGGCATGAATTTTTTGGTCTCTTCATAACTGGAAAATAATGAAAAGTAAACCCTCCATAAACATTAGTATATCAGTCATTGTGTATACTTCTTAATACATGTGTATAAGAAGAGTTTCTAATATATTTGAGATGTTGAGATATGTTTTACAGGGATGCCTTTTGGCCTGGGGGAAGCCTTGCTGAGCCTCGAGCGCCGCGAGATCCCAATACCAAAATGAGGACTCGAGTGTTGTGTAGGGCTAAAATGTTAGGATCTGTCTCAGGTAACTACACATTTCCAAAGAGTGACCTATCAGAGCCAATACTCTTTACATCACTATTGTTTCGTATTTTTATCTTTAAAATAATAGCTAATTTCTTGTATTTCATAATGAAACAAACACCTGTGTTTGCAATCAAATGGTAGATATGAGCATTGAGCTGTGATAGAGATTTAATTAAATGAAAATAATTGTTCAAAATTTTACAGATGACTTCCGTCACTTAATGGGAACAGAGACAATTCGTGTGGGGACCAGTCGTATGTTTGACATGTTCCAACATCAGACCTTAAATAAACGATTTGTTTACGTTTTCCTGGAAGGTGTTATCATCACACTATTTCCACAAAATAAATTCTCAGAACTGTTCCAGAGACTACATTCGCGATCAGAGAGAGTGTCGAAACATTTACTAAAGGATAACAGTGACATTGCGGACACATCAGGTACACGGAAGAGGAGGTGATTTTTGTTGTTTTTGAGGTCATGTGAAAACAAGTGTCAGGTGAAAACTTGTGTCATGTGAAAACATGTGGCATGTGAAAATCTGGCATGTGAAAACTCATGTGTCATGTGAAAACCCAAGTCATTGAAAACTCATGTCATATGAAAATGTGTCATGTGAAAACTCATATGAAAACTCATGTCATGTGAAAACATGGTATGTGAAAACTCATGTGACATGTGAAAACTCATGTGACATGTGAAAATTCATGTCACATGTGAAATTGTGTCATATGAAAACACATAACAGGGATATTATCCAGAACACAATCTGTGATAACCCACTGTTGTCAAAAAATACCCTGATATTATCATTCTTCAAACTTTTGAGAGATGAATAGATTCCTATTCCAAACAATCAATGAACTGTCTCTGGGAGAAAATGAGAATATTGTGCAATGATCTGTTGAAGTTCTGTACTTCCTCTTACTTTATTTAAGTGGAGGTACATGTATTCACGTGGTTCTTATTACTGTGTTATTAGTGTGTACTTTGTCAGGTGAAATTTGTATTTATAAAAATTGTGTAGAGGCTCTTTAAAAGACCAGTGATCTGATTCCAACAAAGCAGAGAAGAGGCTTTTATCCAATGGAATTCCATTAGTTTTTATTGATAGCTGTTCTTTTAAGAAAATTTGCTTTTACAAGGAACATGCGTAATAAGTGCCAAAATCTGCCGTGTGATGTCTACTGCACATGTCTATAATTTAACTCATTTGAACCAAGACCATGAAGCTACTGACTTTAACTTTCCATTTAATTATCAGTAGTACTTAATTTTTGTTATAGAATACTGGCAATGAGATAATTTTTTTTTTTCAAAAAAGGGAGCTGACTCATGTGTATTATTTATTTTCATTGTGCAGCAATTATTTTTTGTTTCCAGTTATTTATAAATTAATTCAATTCCCTTTCAGAACTATAAGGGGTTTTTTTGTTTTGTTTAATTTAGTTTATACTTAATTAATTAATTTGATTTCCAGTGATGAACTAAAGTAGGTTTTGTTCCTTAACAAACAAATCAATCAAATAAATTTCATTTTGCTTTTGCGATGACCACAAACTTGCTATGGAGTAGCGAGGTTCATTTATCAGGACAAAACAGGGGCAGTTTTATCACCTGATTGAGCATGTTCCTTTAAGATTTGTTACAATGTATACTATTTTTGTCTGTGATATTTTAATTTATGTTGCTTAGATACTGTAGACTCATTTTAACACTGATAGGTGTTTAACAGTATTTTTCTTCTTTAATATCATTCCATTTTGTTTTTAAGTGAGTGAGTATAATCCAATTCACCAATATTTAAAGATGGAGAGAGAGAAAAATAATACATGTCAAAAAATGCAGTCTCATATTGATACTTTATGCACACCAAACATGAAACACCTCTACTTTCTTAAGGTCAGACGACATGTTCCTCAGATACGTGTTTTGTATCTCTTAGTATTATATCAAAAAATTTCATATTTGTCATTCTCTTCTGATTTCTACATTGTTTTCAAAGGGTTTTTAAATAAAGGTACACCAAAAATTGTGTTATAGGCCATTTAGAAGATTACCCATAAGGGTTATATAAGAAATTTGACCCTATGGTATCTTGGCCAAATGCCTGGTAAGGTACCCTAATTTTTTGTGAGGAAACTTGTTTAAGTACCTTTACTTTAATGACAAATTCTTAGGAAAAATTATATATTTTTGAGGAACGTGTCGTCTGACCTTAACTTGGAAAAGACATTTCAAGATCCTTAGTGGGAAAAATTCATCATATTATGTTGCATATTATAGTAAAAAATTTCTGTAATGTCAAATCACTTGGTTATCATTTCTGGTGCCTAGTGAGTTACTTTACATATAAATATATTTCCATATGGTTGTGAAACAACATTTCATGAAGGTAAAATTAATTGTGGTTATAAAATAGCATTAAAGTCCATGGCTCATAACTTTGTCATACATACACACTATAGGTAGTTAGTTCTCACATTTTGTCAAGCAAATTTTTGTAACTACTAATTAAATTTGCCATTGATCATGCTGAATACAATTTTCTTTTTTTTTTACCAGGATCCTATTTATTTATAAAATTGTATACTGCTAGAGCACAAGATGTCACTTCTGCAGCAGAAATATTTATCTGAAAATTGAAGCCATACTAAGTTGTAACAGTTGTTGGAGAATCAAATCTTTAAATTTTTAAATTCATTTAAAATGCATAAAATACTTAAATGTGAACCATTAGGATCTTTTCCAGGATGTGCATAATTGTAAGGAGATAGGTCTACAGTAACACTTGTCTTTAATCCAGTATGTCTGTCATTACTTGTATGTTAAATTATTAAATTGAACAAAACTGATGAGTTGTTTGAATATTTGCGATCATAAGTGTAACAATAAGAAAAATTCTTGTATGCAGTTTGAAACAGAAGGTAGATCACCTCAATGAAGTTGAGGGGAGCTTGTGTTACTGTCATACCCTTGGCATGGGTTCCAAGATTTGGGAGGTGTCCTACATTAGTCAGAGATGCATGGAAGATTCTTCTCTTGTGTTTCATTGTACCAGCCAAGGTTTTAGACACTGCTATTTTAGCAAATGGATATCCATGCAGGTTATTGTTTCTGGAGCAGGTTTAAGTTTTTGGACCTGGTCTCATTTCCAAGTAACTAATATCTAAAAGCTGTATGTTGACCAAACTTGCTTGGTTGACACATCTAAGGATGTACACTACCAGGCTTGCTTCGTATGCTGGATCTATCTACCGGTACATGTTCTGGATGAGTGATACATGTAGGTTAAAAATTTTGGAGATTGAAGTTTCATATTTGACATGTGCTTTACCTATGACAAGATATTTCCAAAAGGTCACTCGATTGGGACCCTTCTTATTCCAGAATAATCATTCTGTCTGCTCGATTGGTTTGGTAGGGTAGACTTAGAAGGCCTTCTCAGCCTTCCACATCAGAGATGGAAGGATAGCATTCTAATATGGCATCAAGCGGTTTGGTGAAAACTTAGGGGATTTTTATTATAAATCAAACTTAAAACAAAATACAGTTGCAAAATGTATTTTTATCATGTAAACTATGAAGGATACTTCTGTTAAGAAGCATTTTTTCTGTTATGTAATTGCAGTAAAATCAACCATTGAACACAGTTTCATAATTTAACATGTAATATGGGGTGCAGATTTGAGCCATAAATAGGTCCCTGATTTGACCATAATTATTTTATTTTTTTTTTTACATGCTCTTTAATATTCTTCTGTCTCAGACACTTGATGTTTTAAATGTTTCTTTACATAAATAAAAAAAAAATTCCCAATATTAAATTAATTTTTCCACTCTTAATTATCTCAAGTTTCCCTTTCAAACTAACATTTAATGCTTTAAAAAAACGGATTCAAATTCTTGAAAATCAACAACTGCAGTAATTCAAAACATTGCAGATAATATTCCATCCTATTCAATATCCTTCTGAACACTTGATTTAGACATACATATTCCAACTCTTCCAACATTCCCCTCTGCTACTAGAAGGGTCCCAATCGAGTGGGCCCCAAGCATGCTATGATTTCTGACCCCTTGACCTTGACTTTCATGTTTGACTTAATTTTTTAAAACAAAAAAAGGTGATACATCTTAGGGCATTCATATTTGACACAATATACCATAGATAATTACATCTCATCCACAAAGACACTGAAAATGGGGGTCCGCAATTCGCATAACACAGATATAGTTAAAGTCATACAATTTTATTCCTTAACAATATAATTCGTAATATCTAGTCAATGACATGCACAGATAGCCCAGTATGTTCACCATCATGTAATATCCATGGCTGAAGACTGAGAGAGTTATAGCAATAAATGAAGAAAGTTGGTGAGTGTTCAGCATTTCCTTGATAGGATGCAGGAATTCATGTCTTCCATTGGCACATAATGGTAATATACCATTTACTGTAAGTTCACTCTGGTTTTGGTAAACTGTTCTCTAAAGGCAGTCAACCCACACATCCAGATCACACTCACTCAGACATTTTCTTTGTTATGATGTACATGTTTTAAGGCATCTTCAATAGGCCATATGTACATGCAGGTTAATAATATCTTCATAAATTAAATCTAGGGGACATAACTCTCAGTGAAGTACTAGACCAACCTGAAAAGAAAAGAAGACACATATTACAAGTCATTTCAAAATACATGTACATGTACGTTCCAATGTAAAAATTTTATCCTTTATTGTAACCCTAGAGTGATGAAACATCAATATACTTTTATAAATCTTATTAAGACCAGCCACTATCCAGCTGATTAATCGCACAAAAAATATACAAAATTAGTATTTATCTTTAAAGTACTTTTATCATAACAACATACACAAAACCCATTCTCATCAACATAACAACAGCTTATAAATGTGAGTTTAAGCAGAAAATAATTATAAAAAGCTCTGTTCCCTCTTACTTCTTTCATTATGTTCTATGAGTTAATGTGGTGTACATGTAATCTTTTATCATGGCGATATTTACCTGGTGTGGTTGCATCTGCGGACACCGCCAGTTATACAGGTAGTACTGAAGATTTCCGTCCCCGATCCCAAACTTCAGCTTCTCCAGAAATTCTTTGTTCTCCATCAGGTCTAATGCATTGAAGACATCAAATTCCATCTACAATAATGTAAAGTCATAAATGAAAATCCATCTACAAGTGTAAAATCAATATATCAAATTCCATCTACAAGTGTAAAATCAATACATCAAATTCCATCTACAAGTATTAAATCATACATCAAATTCCATCTACAAGTGTAAAATCAATACATCAAATTCCATCTGCAATTGTAAAATCAATACATCAAATCTAATGCATTGAATACTTAAAATTCCATCTACAATTGTAAAATCATAAATACATAAAATTCCACCTACAATATCAATACATCAAATTCTAGGGCTGGGTATTGTCCCGAGATTTTGTATTGCGATATATTGCGATATTTTAAACTGTATTACGATATGTATTGCAATATTTTCAAGGTAATAGAAATGGCATTTTCATACTTTATTTATTTTAATTTACATGTAAAATTTTCAAATGTTCAAATTGCTGTTTGGCAAATAACAAACTTTTATAAGTTCATTTTTATTTTTAATGACAAAATTCCTTAATGCCAATATATCGATATTACAAAATCGTATTGCCTTTTTTTTGTCATTGTATTGCAATATATTGAAATATCGATATTATTGCCCAGCCCTATCAAATTCCATCTACAATTGTAAAATTTTCATCAAATTCCATCTACAACTGCAAAATGCCTTTGTACATAGAAGAATTTTAACAAACTTTCATATATCAGCTCATAGACTCCAAATTGAAAAGGGATGATACCAAAACATTCCTCGGCATGAAAGGTTTTGTCAGAGATGTAGCTACAAATCAGCACTTTGAAATGTTCCGTTATACAAGATAACCCTTCTGAATTTCAGTGGTGCAGCGTCCTTCAAGAACTGTCCCGGATATTCTCTGTAAAGCAAGAAGAAAAATTCCAATAAGAAGTTTTAACTTACATTTCTTGCAACAATGAGTGCATCCTGCATCAGATCTACCCAGGGGGTGACATTACTGACATTGTAAAATGAGTAGGCAGCTTTCAGCATCTTGTATTGGGGGTGGTGCATGACGGTGGAGGGGAGGGTGTAGAAACTGACAAAGTCAGTAATGCTTCCGTTCTTCTGAAAGCAAATTCATACAAAAAAAACAATGTAGTCACTATTAGTATAACATCGCTTCTAAACAAATCTACATGTATTACAATTTCAATTCAGAAGTTTGCATTTATGTTGTCTATTGTCTTAATACAGTCTAATTTGTCCAAAATGGATATCAATACCCGTAGCTTTACAGCCTGGGAACTCAAATCTAAAGAAACACAGGAACATTGTAATCATGTGTATTAATTAGCCAATTTACTTACCTCAACGACATAAGAGTCAACAATTCCAGGCCTAGGGATAAACCAATGGCGGAATTCTTCAATTGAAAATGTTGGAGACAGGTCAAACTTTTCTAGATACTGAAAAAGGTAACAGAAGTCAATATATATATAATAAATTCTGCAGCATTACTTGTAAATGTCAATAATTAATCAAGCCTCTCCATAAATTTAACAACAGTGCATTTATGAATCACCTTATATAAAATTTAACAGACTGTAATAAGATTTTTTTTCACTCAACAAGGCTTTATTTGAAGACATAGATAGGCTTTTAAGGGACTAAAAATTTCCAACTGGCTGCTACATCCAAACTGACATAATACAGAGGAATAAGTAACTGAATGTTTTATCTATATGATTCTACTTTCTGTAAGCATGTAAAATAGTTTTAAATGTAGATTTCTTACATTATTTGAACTTCCCTTTTTTTCGGATTACTAAGGAACTTTTCAATACCCAAACACAGCTAACCTGATGGTGAGAGAGTTTCCATGCTTACCTTTTTTAATAACTCAAAAGATTCAGGGACGTCAGCCGGAGTAAACTTTCGGAAGCCAGGGGTCTTTGGATTCTGTCAAAAATCAAAGAGAATTGATCTCTACATTTTCAGAGCATTTACTAATCTTCAAATACCAGATAGGATTACTGTATAGGGGGAAAATAACTCGCGGTGTTAATATTTGCTATATTCACGGTGATAATAAATCCGTGAATTCAAGAAACAGTGAATATTTTTTCAATAATCTCCATGTTTTATTTAGAAATTTGAGAATAGACTACATGTACGATAGGTTTAAATACATGTACCACAGTACATGGTCATTTCAGTAATTACGAGTAGTGCTTGTCATTTAATTATTTTAATTAGCACGCTTACATCAACAGATAATTACCTGTATTTGATAAAAGGCTTTTTAGTTGCCAACGCTAGATGTTTCAGAGGCGTAGTCACAAACTTAAAAGTGGGGGGCTCATCAGGAAATTCTTTGACAAGCAAAAAAAAAAAAAGAAAAAGAAAAAAAAAAAAAAACCAACTTAAAAGTGGGGGGCTCAACTCCAGAAATTCTTTGACAAGCAAAAAAAAAAACAAAAAAAAAAACAAAAAAACCCACAAAGCTTTACAAGTGGGGGGCACAAAATCCTCAATTTTTTTCACAAGAAAAAAAAAAAAAAAAAAAAAAATTCCCCAAACTCGAAAATCCTATTTCGTGGGGGGGGGGGGGGGGGGGGGGGTATTTGCCAACTTTTTCAAAGGCAAGTTACTTTCAAATCCAATTTTTTTCCATAGTAAAGGTAATGTTGGGGAAAAATAGCTGTGATTTTGTTCTTCATTAAAAAGTGGGGGGCACAGACATACTCTTGCCCCCCCAGATCTGAAAGTGGGGGGGCTAGTGCCCCCGCTGCCCCCCTGTGACTACGCCTATGTGTTTCATCAATCAAAACACGTGGGCCATAAGTTTTGATTACCCGTGCGTAACTAATTTTACCACGCACAGTGTATTTGTTACCTGCATTATCATGCATATTATAGTTTTTATCAACATTTTGATTTTTAAAAAAAATCATTCAAATAAATATCGAACTTACTGAAGATATGGAAGGATATTATTTCGTTGACCTACATTAACACATTTATTACCATCCAGTGTTTTTTTCGCCGCGTTGTTTTGAAGATCTTCGGGTGTAAATGCACTCATTCTTGTTATAGCATACAGAAAAGTCATTTGACGTTTATAATCAAGGACTTTTAATAACTGCACCTGATTTAATTAATTGTCATTATTTATTAAGTCTATTTTGTATTAACATACCCTGTTGTTCCTGAAATAAAGACATAACGCTGATAAATGTCGTTTACATGTAGCTATGGTATGGATTAAACAGATATAGACAAGGGAGGTAACTTCTATAACATATGAATTCCGCGAATTCAAGAAACCGCGATCGTGTCCGATGAGAGAAAACCGTGAAAATAACAACCCGTGAAATCAATCCCCTATACAGTATTCTCTAGGTAGAGTTAACTTTATAAGAACTTGTGCTGGTGCAGTGATTGATTAAAATATCTGTGGTGCTCACTACACACAATGATTAGTACACATATTCTAAAAGTAACTTGTATCATCTTTCTACATAACTTGTGGCTTACCTCTGGTAACTTGTAAAGTTTCAATGTCCTTTGCATTGTCATGTTTCGTGTCAGATGTGAAAACTTGACAGCTATCAATTTTCTTGGATTTAAAGATCTATGCCAGTATCTAGAATGAAACAGAATATAATGTCATAATCTTAAATCAAATTTTAGGAAACGATTAATTTCCTACCCAATCATGTACATTGTTTTATGAGCATAGCAGATGGTTTTTTAAGAATATTTAACATAAAGTTCAATAGATACACATATTTCGGATTCCTTAGCTTAACATTTATTTACACCAACCAAAGATATCTGTAAAATCAATTCTATTGACATATACCCGATATTTGTGTTTTTCGTACATTCTTTTACAATGAACGCTAACAATTTTTCAATTCAAAGCAAGAACCTCCTTCAATCTTTTTTCCTGAAGATGTAATATTTTAACTGACAAAATCAAAACATGTTTTAATGGACAGGACACATGATATAAGCATCCATCCTCATGCTTCTGCTCTCCTAAAGAGAGGTCATTATGGTCAAGAGGTCATTTAGGTCAAGGGGTCATTAAGGTCACCTACCTACAACAGGCTACGGGTTTAGGGAGGACAACTCCTGCTGTGTACACTGCCTGAAACAGTCCTTTGAGGTTTACCCTGCGAGTTATTTCCCTTATCAACACTGGGGCCACTCGTTTTGATCGTAGTTTTTTGTGGACACACAGAAAATTAATCTCTACCATGTGCTTCTTCCTATAAAATAATCAATATACAGATCTTGCTGTCAAACAGTATAAAACTAGAATAAGTTTAAGGTAATATTTCAAAGATTGGCTTTTTGGAATACTAGTAACTTTGTGTAAACTTTTCTCATCTAAGGCTAAATAAATTTAATTCTCTTGTTCTCAGGCCAATTTTCTCCATAAAAATTTTTCTGTTGCAGTTTTTTATCACTATACAAGCTATCATTAAAGTAACGGAAAACAAAGTTGTAAATATTTGTATGAAAATATTTTCTATATTCTTCACATGTACTTACTTGTCATACATTTTGATGAGAGCTGGTACAGCACTAATAAAACCCACCAGTTTGGCACTTTTAGCCACTCTAACCCCACAATGCCACTCCTTACACCAACCTGGGGGCTGCAGGGCCCTATAAATAAATCAGGTCGAAGTATTCTACCCCATAATCTCAAATAATATGAGAGCAAGACTAGGCAGCAAAAATTTAATGTATAACAGATTTTTCATGTAGAAATGTCTTAAAAACAGACATTTGAAAAGAAAGACAAATGGATGTTCTAATTTGTCAAAGAGCTTGCAAAGTATTGTTCAAAATAATCAATAATCAACATCTAGCAAATAAAAAAAAATTAAATATGAAATAATAATTTGTATTATACAATCCTTGAATCACAACTCACCATTGTAAAAATTCTGGACTGTAATCAAATCGGAACATATTGTCATCATCCTCTACATAATTCTCATTCAACAGAGTGTAAAGTTCCTTTAACTGTAAATAAACAACATAAAATAAAAATGTAAAATAAACAACAACTTTTGTCCTTTAAATTTTTACATTTATCAAATATTCAGGTTTCAGAGATCTGTTTGGGTCTATGACCCTAGTAGCTTACAATAAGTCTGTTGGGTTAATGACCCTATGTATGACCCTAGTGGCTTACAATTAGCAGGTCTATGACCCTAGTAGATTACAATGAGCAGGTCTATGACCCTACCAGCTTACAATGGATCTGATAGGTTTATGACCCTCATCGCTTACAATGAGCGTGCCTATGCCTCAAGTAGCTTACAATGAGTCTGTTGGGTTTATGACCCTAATAGCTTACAATGAGAGGGTCTATGAACCTAATAGCTTTCAATGAGCGGGTCTATGACCATAGTAGATTAGAATGAGTCTGTTGGGTTTATGACCCTAGTAGCTTACAATGAGCAGATCTTTGCCCTTAGTAGCTTACAATGAGCAGGAAAATGACCCTAGTAGCTTACTATAAGTCTGTTGGGTTTATGATCCTAGTAGATTACAATGAGGGAGTCTATGACCCTAGTAGCTTACAATGAGCAGATCTATGCCCCTAGTAGCTTACAATGAGCAGGAAAATGACCCTAGTAGCTTGCAATGAATCTATTTGGGTCTATGACCCTAGTAGCTTACAATGAGCTGGTCTATGACCCTAGTAGCTTACAATGAGTCTATTTGGGTGTATGACCCTAGTAGCTTACAATGAGCAGGTCTATGACCCTAATAGCTTACAATGAGTTTGTTTGGGTCTATGCCCCTAGTAGCTTACAATGAGCGGGTCTATGACCCTAGTAACTTACAATGAGCAGGTCTATGATCTAGTAGCTTACAATGAGTAGGTCTATGCCCCTAGTAGCTTACAATGAGTGGGTCTAGAAGGTCGAGTGTGTCCCAGACAAATCCTGAGGGGAGACTGTAGGGCTCGGTCCTGATCTCCTCCACCGGTTTATCCTCCTCTATTGGTTGATTTATGTCCTGGATCTTCTCATCTGTTTAAAATACAGAGTGGAGTCTTACTCAGAATAAATAGACCACACATCATTTCCTGTACATACATGTCTGCATTTAGGGGGAGGGGGGTATATTAGGGCAGAGGCTTGAACATGTTGAATCCTAAGACTTGTTTATAAATATCAATTAAAGCTGAATTTAAAAATTTTTCATGAAAACCAAATGTTGTTTTATCATATTACAGGTATAAATGAATCAATCATGGCTGAACATCAGATTCACTTCAATTTAAAAACTCTGCAATAAACAGTTACCAGACACATTTTGATAAGCATTTTTCTTTTGGGAAACTGTCACTTCACTTGGAGAAAATGTAGGCATATTTCTTAATTATGGGACTGGGACCAAATTTTAGCTCTATATCAGCCGTGTAAAAAACATTTGTTTGGTTTCTGAAGAAAAGTTTTGTACCCCTATAAACATTGTCTTACTTATTTCAGGCACAGGCTGTGTCTCCCAGAATTTGTATCTCTTCTTTGTAGCTTCCTCCATACTTTTGGGTGCACCATGGGACATAGACAATAATTCTACAGCTTTCTGAATTTTCTGTAATCCTGAGAGTGATGTCTAGAAAAAGAAAACAATTTTAAGACTTTGACTTTTGGTTAATGCCATTCTACAGTCTACACAAAGATTGTTACCCAAACTAGAAAATGTCTTTCAAAGTATTGTGAATACAGGTGAACTTCAGTATCCTGAACTTATATATTTCAAATAACAGGATATGACCATGGAAAATCAAAATTCTAACTACCTTTTCTCTAAGTATTTTTAATCTTGATACTGTAAATCACTTTTTATTTGTGAAAACTTTATTTATGCATAATTTTGTGAATTATGAGTCAATCTGCTCATATCAAGTTTAAAAGATTTTAATTTTACTATATGCTGCTCTCACCTCAGGAGCATTAGAGGAGATGGGGCCCTCCGCCCCGACCGACCCTTTCTTCTTGCTGTCCTGAGGAGCGGTTTGTCTGGTTCCCGTGTCCTGACTCTCATAATCGGCCTCCATGCCCGACTGTTGCTGTTCTTTGTCGTTGGAAATCACGGGGAGGGGGTCGGGTTTGTTAATTTCGTCGTCTTCCGTCACCGAATCCCCACTGGAACGCTCGATGTCTTTATGTCTTCTCTTCTTCTGAAATTTTTTGTGTTTCTTCCTAGATGCTGGGTCCTCTCTGTTTTTAATGATTTAAAAAACAATAAGTAACAGGATCATTTACATCACATTAATATTTATTGTACTCAGCAGTATTGATGACAGAATCAACATGCATGTAACAGGTTAAATGGATTCTAAATGATTTAACTAAAGGAATAATCAATAGCACCTGTGCATTCATGTTTAGAAAGTACAAGTGCACTCATGTTTAGAAACCAAAGTATTGCTACATCAGGAAGTTATCCCATTCAGTTACCTTATCTATTACAATTCTTATACAACTATTTTCCCTTTACCAAACTGTAATCACTGTCAGGTACAAAAAGCTGAGTTTATGTATCAGCTGCAATGAACAGGCTAGTACATGTGTACCCATAGTTCTGGTCTTTGGTCTAAGTTAAGCAGTGTTAATAACTACTGTACCATTATAAACTGTACAATATAGTCATGTTTTATAAAGCATAATCTTGACTTATGCTCTAAATGGTTACTTACGATTTTAACAATATTAAGAAGAGTTAAAGCAACTTCTCTTCTTTGAAATCCTAACTGATTGACAGTTAAATTACTATAACATGATGCTCAAAGGGCGCAATGTTTTTTCATGTCACTCTGGCCTTGCTGATTTGCATCAGCCTTTTTTCCCAATGTACATGAATTAATACATATATAAAAGTTTGCATGGCCATAGGAAACGAGGGGTGGGGGCAAGGGGAGCATGCCCTCTCCCCCAATAATTTTGCCGATATATACAAATATAGATTCCTATAGAAAACATAACCCCTTTTTGCTTGTGCCCCCCTCTGATATAAAAAGTCTGAGGACCTTTTTTTTTTTGCTTGTCAAGGAATTTTTGGAAGTTGACAGTGCCCCCAACACAAAATGTATGGCTGTGCAAAACTGAAATTGCTTCCAACAGACCTGTTTTGTATGTCATTGTATGCCAATCCTACACAATGTAGGGGTCAAGTTTGAACAAAAATGAAACATGCAAACTCAATTTAATAATACATTATAAATTATATAACTTATAAATTAAAATCCACTCGTACATATCACATAGATTTATTACTTTTACAGTTTTTTTCTCTTCATCTAAAAACTGAATGATAAAATATATTTTTAAAAATTATTCAAACAAACATTCATTAAATTCTGAAAAAAATCAAAAGAAATTATGAAAATTAATAAACTAACATATTATGGGCAAAAAGACTATGTGTGAATAAGTTTTAGAGTGAACGGACTTTGGTCAAAGCAAAGAGCATCAAGGGTGAACACGTTTTAGGGCAAATGAACATGATATTCATAGTGAGCAAATGGGACAACAGGAAGCACGGCTTGTCACTGCAAGCTCTAAAACAACAGCAAAGAGAAAATATAGGACTACTGCATATTCATTCAATAGAATTTTTTCCACATTAACTTTTGGACCCACAATGCATATTGCTTTTTAGAGCAATATTCGAGCAAGAATACACGTAACAACAAAAGTTTAACAAAAATAAGCTCCCCTTCATTTAACATTGTTTAAATAATGGATATAAAATAAAAGTAAATAAAACGTTCTTCATTAAAATCAGCACTGTTCAGGCGGTGGTTTGATAAGGCCTAGAAAAAAATATGTTTGTTTCCGCTTTCCCGACCGACCCTTATTTATAGTGCCGACCCTAAATATTTTTTTGATGCTTTTGTCCCATGATGTGCAAGATTTCAACCAGGGAATTATAGCCTCCAACTTTGCAAGCTTTTCAAGACAGAAAGAAGTTTGGGTCACCTTGCTATTATAAGTTAAGTCACAGTAATGCTTGAAAACACCATTTCTTTTGTCATTAATGTTACTCTATACTTTTGTTTAAAGAAGCAAAAAAATTTTTTTCAAAAAAAAAAAAAATTGCCTACCTACCTACCCTACATTTTTTTCAGCCTGAAAGCGGAAACAAACATATTTTTTTTCTAGGCCTAATGCAACTACATACGACATCATGTGACATCAGAGTCTATGGACGTAGCAAATGTTAGTTGCAGAACTATAGCTCTCCGAAAAATATATTGACTGATATATTTAGGAGACAGTGCCACATTGAAAAAAACTGTATATTTATTGTGTTGCGCCTGGTTTTGAATTGATTCTTCCAAATTCTTACCTCAATTGCAAAACATTTAGATTTCAAAAAATTCAGTACTCCTCTATCAAGTAATTTTGTAGTTGACATACCTGTGTATACCATGTATACACAAAGTGCGTTGGGCCGAATTATATTGCAAACAAAAATGGCAGTATAAATAAACGAAATTTTCAATGATCTTGATTTCAGGGCCAGGAGGACTGTAAACAACAATACGCAAGTTTCGAGATTATCTCCCTTGGTGCGCTCTTTCGTTGAGGAGGGGAGTTTGGTTGCCGCGTAAACAAACAGGTGGGACAGATATTTATTATTGGATATATCGCATCATCGATATACTGGTTTATCGTAACTATATAATTGTAAGGATGCACTGTTCAACTCGAGAATAACCGAATTAACGTAAAGGTGTCATTTTTTAAAGCAAAAAAATCGGAACAAAAAAGAAAATTCAGTGGATGCGAGACTTTTCAGACGATGGAAGAGATATATTGACCTCTAATAAATACGGTAAACATGAATCTGATCATTACATGTCGGCAATCTAAATGACACATTGATTTTTTACCTTATTATCACTTCAAAAAACCCACTAACTTTTTAGAGAATGTTTGTACAATCAAGAAAATCTTTTACTTTTATGAAGACCACGACGTTTATTTCGTTTTTAAGTACCTATAATTGAAAGTAGATTTATAAATATACACAGTTGAGCTTGATAAAATCATAAAATGCATCACTGGTTAACATTTTTATCTTTCTATAACATTAAATAAATTTTAAAAGCCATAAACATCGTTCATTTGTTTATGAACATTTGTATACATAAGCAAACTGTCCCACCTCAATGCTGAAATGGATACTTTTTGCGCCTCTATCGCAGGAGAGTTACAATCTCGAAACTCGCGTATTAGAAGTGATGTTTTGTTGTGGAAACAGTGAAAAAATATGTTAGGAACACAAGTTTAGTAATATTTTGAGATGATAGTTTCAAAAACATGGAGAAATAAATCGATAAACAGCGCAGTTTTTCGCCTGCAATAAATATACAGTTTTTTCAATGGGTGGCACTGTAGCTCTTCGGTCTGTCAATATATTTTTTGGAGAGCTACAGTTCTTCAGCTAAGCAAATGTCAAGTGAAGTTTAATGAGCCCCAATTGAAAATAAACTTAATGCGTATCTACCCTTGCCCTATCAATCAGACCATCTACAAATTAAAAGAGATACAATTGTTTTTTGTTTCTTTTAAAGAAGCTTCCTGGCAATCCTGCAAAAAATAAATCTTAACAAAGCTGAGGATCTGTAGTTGCCATTATCGCATGGATTGGACACCTAGTAAGGAAGAAATTCTAGGAAAGTGTAAATGAAAATTGCATTTCTTTGTAAACAATATTAACACTACCCCTTTTTGGTCTTCTCTAATCTAAATCAAGAAAAAGAATCTCATCAGATGTCATTTGCATGTGTCCCACCCAACCTCATATTTTAGTCCCGTTTATTATAAGTTATTGACGTCCCAGGCGAACAAATAATTACCCCCTCTCTGACACCTCGTCCTCTTCAACATCAGCATCCACCGCACTCTGGTCTTCGTTTTGATCTGAACTTAAATCATGTAGCGAATCTACGTCCGCCATGCTTCTGCTGAAAATCAGCAGAGAAAATTCGAGCTAAGACGCCAATGTGTTATTTTAAACCCAACAATAGAATTATGATTTATGCATATATTAATTAAATAATGTATGTAACTGCACTCATGACTAGAATATTTTTTCAATATATTATAACATAATTTTTAACAAATTAGGACCGCACTCGTTTGTCTGCGCATGCGTTAAATCTGCTTGACAACACCACGCTCAGTGCTCGCTGTTGAAAGCCCAAATATGTCGGTTATAAAGCGTCAAGATCTCGCAAAAATGACAGAAAGACTGTTGAAAAGGAAAGAATGTAAATGTATGTATCGAAGATAATAATTGCTGCCGCAAGTTTGGGAGAATTTTTAAAGAACATCTTTATTAACAAACATACGAGTAGTTCGAATTATCTCTAAATCTTTTTAACTCGAAGGGAAACGTGTAAATTGTTTGTCCTTATGTAATCTTAATATAATCTTCAATAGATTGTTCTAATTGAAAAGAATAACCGTCTTATGTGTTTCGTATGCTGTATTTGGTTTATCCTTTGCAGTTGAAAAACATGAAATTGAAAAATTGATAACAATGTTTGTCAACATCACTGGAGCTCTAAACAATAAGCTGGACCGCACAAAGTTCCGTGACGTTCTGCACATCAGCTTTAACATGACTGATGATATTTTAATGGACCGAGGTAAATTTGAAAGGAAACATTCTGTGTATGCTTCATGCTTGATTTTTTTTCATGTTTTTAAATCTGAATATTGGGATTAATGGGTGATATTCATGATTCTTGTGACATGTATGGATTTTTTTTATAGCCATTTCTAAGTCCTCAGGTTTATACTTTAATTAAACTTCCAGTTATAATGCCCAAGAATTTTAATGTTACTATTAAAACCTTGAATAAATTGTGCATGTTGATATACGTACATGTACAATATTTAATTTTAACAGGTAGAAAGTGAGTTTTTCAATTTTTCAGTAACACTTAAATATTGATTTGTTTAGTATTTAGGGCATTTGATCAAGATAGTGATAACTATCTGAGCCATGAAGAATGGGTGATTGGCCTTTCTACATTTCTGAAAGGTGCTCAAGATGACAAAATCAAATGTAAGTCTGCGTTTTTTTTTTTTCTGCTCCTACCTCTATAGGTAAGGGTTTGGAATGCATGCATGTATGATTGAATATATACATGTGTACATGTAGAACAAATAAGGCCTTAAGTGCTTGAAAATAATATTTTTTTTAAAAAATTCTTCTGAGCATACTAGATATAATATAATTTAAAATGCGGAATATAATTTTATACTATACAATTATTGCTGTTTTTGAGGTCAATAAATCTGGAATATAATTTTTTACTTCAAGATGGCTAATTATTGTAGTGACCGAAAAAACCCAGCAATAATTGTTTTATTATATGATTCACTGATAAAATGATACAGCTCATTACTTGTTTGCATTTAATCAAGTCCTAGCCAAATACATGTACAAGGGAGACGCAGAATTAAAATGTAAATAAACCTTATCAGTTGTATCAGTCTGAAATGTTTTTTTATCAATTTTAATTGCCATGAGAAAAAAAATTTATAATGTCAGTCTTTTTTATAGGGTGGATTTTGAAAGGAAGGAGTATTATCAGGGAATTATCAGGGAAAACTGACTGCCAAAAAGTAAAAATTGCTGTTCATTAAAAGTGTTGGAGGGGGGATTTTTGAAAACCAAAAATATATATTCCTTATGTTTTGTTCACATGAAAAAAAGTGAAAGTCGTTTAAATAGCTTTCCAAAACAATTTGTATTATGATTGATTGGCCTGATCTATTTTTATAATGTATTAAATCCTTGTATTCACCTGGAAAATTCTGCAGAATACAACGTTTTTTTCTTTTTTACTGTAGCCAATCAGAGAGAGGGAAATTAATCAATCATATAATAAAATGAATTATGACAGGGTAATGATTGGGTTTCTTTTCAGACTGTTTTATTGTCTATGATTTAAATGGTGATGGGTGGATTTCAAGAGAAGAAATGTTTCAACTTCTGAAAACCTCCATTCTGAAAGTAAGTTTAAGAAATAAATGATTAATAAATTATGATGGAAAATTCTAGATTTTTACTGTAAAGGGATCAAAGAAAGGGAATATTTTGTTTGAATTTTTGAATCCCCGTAAGTCAAGAATCAGACTTTTTTAAAGATACCAATAGTTTTGGTAGAGAATATATCAGAATTTATTTCTTCACAACCTTATATTTGATACTTGAATGATGATGTTACAAATCAAAAAATGACTGAAACAGTACTGTGACTGTCTATTTTTTTAATGATCATGCATTATACATGGTATAGATTGAGATCAAATGAAATTATTAGTGGTGTTATGTGCATGTAAACACTTGATTTGTTTGGAAAAAAATCATGGAAACGTACAGTAAAAACTTTCCCATTGTTTCACAGTTATGATTTGTTAGTATTAATCTTGTACAAAAGCCACAAATCATTCATAATTAGCCATTCTCAAGTTCAAGTCTTCATTTAACAAACAATTGTTTTTGAATCCTATTGTAGGTAAAGCATTGAATTGAAAAGACTGGTATGGATTCTATGTGTTGTATAATTCATATAACATTCAGATTAGAAAGAGCAATGACTCATTTTTATTTTGGCTGCAGTATATGGGGATACTGTCATCCTGAAATAAAAGAGTTTATAAATCATCAAGTATTTAATATTCAATACAGCTAAATCCAAATAGCTAGTCAAAAATAATTTAGAAACATTGAATATAATACCTGTTCTGTACTCTTTTTTAGTTGCTTTCAATGTTACTTTGAAACTTGCAATCAATCGAGGTACATGTCATATATGTGCATGAATTGTCTTTTTATAGTAATATGGTATCAATTACCCACAGTTATTTTATTATTTTACATTTCTATACTTAACTGTATAGTCTACATCATGTCACATTGTTTAAGCTTAAAACACCATATAAACATCACAACTAAAAAAGTTAAGTGCAAATTAAACCTCTCATAAAAATTGTCTCTGCCATTGAATTTTGATGTCCATTCTGTTTTATGTTAAAAGTTCTAAGAAATTTTGGTGATTATGTGTTAGCTTTGTACAATATGATTTAATTTATAAATTAATAATGTAGAATTTTCATTTCCAATGATCAAAACACTGTCAACTGCCCTACAATCCTCATTTGTCATAAGCTGTACTTCAAAAATGGTGAAATAAATAAATGTTAAAAGTCTCCTCTTAAATTAACTTTAAATAAACATAGCATGAAGTGCCTGTTGTCTGTAGATTGTTTGTTCATAAATTGATATCTTCCAAGTGTTTAGCTTATAAAGGGTTGATTTACATGGAATGGACACTTTTGTTGTAGTATGTGTGTATTAGAATTAATATTGTACTGCATATTAGACCTGGGTTGCTTAGGAATTCCTAATTTGCTAATCTTTTAATCTTTAATTTGAATCATACTGAATTTCATAATTAGAATGTTGTATTAGTTTAAAAATAATCTTAAATGGCATTCAAATTCCTGTGCTGTTGTGGATCCTCTGGCTTCTGTTTTTCTCACTGTCATGTCTTTCATTTCCAGCATTCTTCTGAGGAGGACCAAGATGAAAACATCAAGGAGCTGGTAGAGCTGATTTTAAAGAAGATGGTGTGTACATTATACTTGATACTGTATAGATCACTATACTTTTCCTGACACATCTTAATTTTTCCTTTTTTATGCCCCGCCATGAATATGGCCGGGGCATATAGTGTTTGTCATGTCCGTCTTCCGTCCTTCCGTCCTTCTGTCCTTCCGTCCTTCCGTCTTCCGTCACTCTTTGCATTTAAATCTGTTCAAAGCTAAGTTTCAAAGAAACTATCCAAAATATTTTCATCAAACTTCATATGCTGATAGATATTGATGAGAGCTATGCAACTGCATCAACCTTTTTTGACCCTGACCTTTCCTTTGACCTTGACCTCACTTTTCTTAAATTAGTGTTAAGCTCAGATTTGAACATACCATTCAATATGGTGTTATCAAACTTCACATGTTGATACAAACTTGCACTGATGATGCGTCTAGGGATGAACACTACCAGACTTGCTTCGGATGTTGGATCTGACCTACATTTTCCAGATAAGTGACCAGGTTTAAGTTTTTGGAGCAGGTCCATTTCCAAGGAACTATATGCCCTACCCAAACCAAACTTGCATGGATGATGCATCTAGGGATGGACACTACCAGACTTGCTTCTGATGCTGGATCTGACCTATATTTTCATTCCCAAGTAACTATAAGTCCTACCTGAACCAAACTTGCATGGATGATGCATCTAGGGATGGACACTACCAGACTTGCTTCGGATGCTGGATCTGACCTATATTTTCATTCCCAAGTAACTATAAGCCCTGCCTGAACCAAACTTGCATGGATGATGCATCTAAGGATGGACACTACCAGACTTGCTTCGGATGCTGGATCTGACCTATATTTTCATTCCCAAGTAACTATAAGTCCTGCCTGAACCAAACTTGCATGGATGATACATCTAGGGATGGACACTACCACTTGCTTCGGTTGCTGGATCTGACCTACATTTTCATTCCCAACGCAGGGGGGATAAGGAAGCATACAGAATATTCTACCTTGACTAAGTCAGTGCTACATTATGACGTCATAGTAAGAGAGATGACGTCAATTTCAGAACACAAGTTTTCGTAATATTGGTATTTATAGATGTAATTTAACTCTAGAAAGAATCTTAATTAGAAACGTCTTACCATTAACAAAAATAAAATGTTTTTATTCTGTTATTCTTTATCTGTCATTTTAATTAAAATCTACTATCGATGACGTCATATGTGTACATCAAGTAACTTGGAAATTGATCATTTCGTGTAAAGAGAATTTGGCTAAGAACGGCATGTACAGAGATGCGTAAAATGAGGTTTAAAAGCAAATACCGTAAATATTTTGTGAAATTCATATGGAGTTAAGTAACTTAAACAGGTATGCTAATTCATTTTCATCGGTTATATCCTCTTTTGAAGACAATCAGCTATAAACGTATCCCGGTCGGCCTTTCCTCTGTCATTCCTGACAAAAATAATGCAGCAGAACAACAATAAGCTGGATGTTTCAAAAGATGAGATTTATACAGATCGAAAGTTTGCCTTCTAAAATACTTGGAAATTGCTGCTAGAATCCCGAGTTAAGCATGGTTTTACGAAAAATCTCGGTTCATATGTATAAAATTCAAAACATCGGGTAAGGTTTCGTGCGAATTTGTATGGAATAATTATTTTACTGACAGGACAGTGGGATTCTAGCAGCACTTTTTATAAAAAATAGATGTTTTCCTACTGTATTATTTACTCAAAGAATTTATTAAACTCCGAGGTATTGTTGTTCTGTAAGCTTTTTTATTAAGGAACATTTCGCTATAAATAGAAGTCACGTGATGCAGTGGTGGTGGTGCACGTCTTTGCGTTAGACACTCTTTTATCTCTATGCAATAGTTAATAATAGTTTACGTTTATCAGTGGTTTGATTAAATTATCAAACTTAAGTTTCTTTAAAAAGCCTTATTTTCCCGAGAAATGATTTATATGCTTCCTTAACATACCCGCGAAGTAACTATAAGTCCTACCTGAACCAAACTTGCATGGATGATGCATCTAGGGATGGACACCACTAGACTTGCTTCGGATGCTGGATCTGCCCTATAATTTCCTTCCCAAGTAACTATAAGCCCTACCTAAACCAAACTTGCATGAATGATGCAGCTAGGGATGGACACTACCAGACTTGCTTCGGATGCTGGATCTGACCTATATTTTCATTCCCAAGTAACTATAAGCCCTACCTAAACCAAACTTGCATGGATGATGCAACTAGGGATGGACACTACCAGACTAGCTTCGGATGCTGGATCTGACCTACATTTTTATTCCCTAGTAACAATAACCCCTACCTGAACCAAACTGATCAAATTTTATACACATACGAATTTTCATGTTGCTTTACTAATATATCCTCAGCGGGGCATTCATGTCCTATGGACATATTTCTAGTTTTTTTTAAAGAAAGCTATTAAGTATTTATAAGTGTAACGAGAGAGGAGAAAATGCAGGGGACCAGACCGGGATTCGAACCCAGGCCCCCTGAAACTCCAATCAGGTGCTCTACCAACTGAGCTATCTGGCCACCGGCGATCGAACCCGGCTGACCACCACATTCCTCCCTCCTTAAAGGTCTTTGGCCCTCCAAAGACCCCAACCCAGGCTCATCCCTGGCAGGCCTCTCACCTGTCAATTCCAGGGCATGGCACGGCACCAAATGTAACGGGAGAGGAGAAAATGCAGCGGACCAGACCGGGATTCGAACCCGGGCCCCCTGAAACTCTGGTCAGGTGCTCTACCAATTGAGCTATCTGGCCACCGGTGATCGAACCCGGCTGACCGCCACATTCCTCCCTCCTTAAAGGTCTTTGGCCCTCCAAAGACCCCAACCCAGGCTCATCCCTGGCAGGCCTCTCACCTGTCAATTCCAGGGCATGGCACGGCACCATATGTAACGGGAGAGGAGAAAATGCAGCGGACCAGACCGGGATTCGAACCGGGGCCCCCTGAAACTGCGGTCAGGTGCTCTACCAACTGAGCTATCTGGCCACCGGCGATCAAACCCGGCTGACCGCCACATAAGCAAAACAATTTTTTCTTGAGCTTTGCTTATTATAAAAAATAATCCTTAACAAAACAAAGAACGAAAATTTCATTATGCAAAAATAAAGTTCTTATATTAATTCATATCACATTGACGAGTGGGAGGAGACAATGCATTGAGATAGTGATATTTACTCATAGACAAATACTACCTGTAAATGAAGAGTAATTTCAATATTGAAAATGCTTTATAATTACAGGATCACGACCATGACAGTCGATTAAGTATGAGTGATTTTAAGCAGGCCGTGGAATCAGAAATCCTTTTACTGGAAGCTTTTGGACCCTGTTTACCCAGTCCAAAGGTAATATATGTACATGTATAATTATTTAATAACTGTTTCTGAAAATTTGGATGCTCTAGAGATTAATCTCACTTAAATATACCTACCTTATGTATGGTTGATATGTATCTCTTAGTTTTATTAGCTCACCTGAGCCAAAGGCTCAAGTGAGCTTTTCTGATCAAAATTTGTCCGTTGTCTGTCGTCGTCGTCGTTGTTGTCGTTAACTTTTCACATTTTCATCTTCTTCTCAAGAACCACTGGGCCAATTTCAACCAAACTTGGCACAGAGTATCCTTGGGTGAAGGGAATTCAAGTTTGTTCAAATGAAGGGCCACGCCCTTTTCCAAGGGGAGATAATCATGAATTTGTTAAAAATTAATGGCATTTTTAAAAAAATCTTCTTCTCCAGAACCGCTGGGCCAGGAAAGATGAAACTCATGTGGAAGCTTCCTCAGGTAGTGTAGTTTCAAATTTGTTCAAATCATGACCCTCGGGGCAAGGGTGGGGCCAAAATGGCCGACCCAAGTTTTACATAGGAATATATAGGAAAAATCTTTAAAAATCTTCTTCTCCAGAACCACTGGGCCAGGAAAGATGAAACTCATGTGGAATCATCCTCAGGTAGTGTAGATTCAAGTTTGTTCAAATCATGACCCCCGGGGCAAGGGTGGGGCCAAAATGGCCGACCCAAGTTTTACATAGGAATATATAGGAAAAATCTTTAAAAATCTTCTTCTCCAGAACCACTGGGCCAGGAAAGATGAAACTCATGTGGAATCATCCTCAGGTAGTGTAGATTCAAGTTTGTTCGAATCATGACCCCCAGGGCAAGGGTGGGGCCAAAATGGCCAACCCAAGTTTTACATAGGAATATATAGGAAAAATCTTTAAAAAATCTTCTTCTCCAGAACCACTAGGCCAGGAAAGATGAAACTCATGTGGAATCATCCTCAGGTAGTGTAGATTCAAATTTGTTCAAATCATGACCCCTGGGGCAAGGGTGGGGCCAAAATGGCCGACCCAAGTTTTACATAGGGATATATAGGAAAAATCTTTAAAAATCTTCTTCTCAAGAACCACTGGGCCAGGAAAGATGAAACTCATGTGGAATCATCCTCAGGTAGTGTAGATTCAAATTTGTTCAAATCATGACCCCCAGGGCAAGGATGGGGCCAAAATGGCCGACCCAAGTTTTACATAGGAATATATAAGAAAAATCTTTAAAAATCTTCTTCTCAAGAACTACTGGGCCAGGAAAGATGAAACTCATGTGGAAGGATTCTCAGGTAGTGTATATTCAAGTTTGTTCAAATCATGACCCCCGGGGCTAGGGTGGGGCCAAAATGGCCGACCCAAGTTTTACATAGGGATATATAGGGAAACCTTTTAAAATCTTCTTTTCAAGTACTTCAAAGCTATGATTAGTGATATTTATATGGAATCATCCTCAGGTAGTGTAGATTCAAATGATGAACGCCTGGAGGGGGGGATAAATTCAAGCCCGATGTGCTCAGGTGAGCGCTGTGGCCCCTGGGCCTCTTGTTTATGTAGGAAGATCATTTTATATATATTTACATATAAGTTATTTTTTTTAATATGTAAATTTGTGAGGACTTCTTGTAAACTGTTTTCAAGAACCTTAAAAAATTTGATAAATATCGTACAAGATGTTTGAAAATATTTAATTTGTAAAATTATGTACATACAAAATTTTTCTCACCAATAAATATACAATCAGTAAAGTGATTAAACATTCACCATTTTTCTCTAATCAAAAAATATAAAAATCCACCTTTTCATCTAGTTAAAAAGCTTAAATTCTAGATAAAAATTAAAGAGATTTTCTCTTTTTGTAAAATTGATATTTAAAAAAAAAACCTCTGCCTGAATGTTCCAGCTTTGTGTCAAAATGCACAATATGTTAATATGTAATTATCTTTTAATTTAATTTACATGTTCTTTACATGTTTTTGCTGCATGAGTTTATGAATATCACATTGAAATCATAATTTCAGCTTCGTGATGCATTCCTAGACGAATTAACCCTGGAACAAGCCAAGTATTAGAGGACTAACTTATATGTACTCGTATTAACTCGGCATGAAAATATTTGTCCAAAATATTATTTGTAAAGTGTCTGAAATGTTGATCTCTCTCTCTCATGGTAGAGAGGGAGCTGTATAAATTACCTGTATGTCTGTTTGTGATGTCATGTCAAAGTTTTACCAATGTGATTTCAGTATTATATGATAGGGACTCTGTTTCTATTCTGAGAAACATATCTCTAAAACATTGATTTGTAATTACTTTGAATGATAGATTTATGTGTGTTTGAATGATATGGCTATTAAAGCAATTTGTTAATGTTCTTGTTATTACATTTTATATATTTTATTGACATTGTATTTTAATTATTTATCCTCTTTCTATTTCTGTAAGAAATACTCATTTTCATGATGATGACAATCAATTATCAAAATAAATACTTTTACAAGAAATGTTGTTTTATTTTCACTACAGAAATAAAAGATATCATTTTGAAACACTGATGTCTCAAAATGGCAGCTCAAAATCATTGTTAAAGTTTTTAAATTTAGGTCAAAGCCAAGAGTTGAAAAATGATGGTACCCAAAGAAAGTCCTTGTCACAAGAAATGTAAAGCACCATCTATTTAAAAATATGGTGCAGGTTTTAATTTTTCAAAAGTAGGTCATATTCCAAGGTCATGAGAACATACATATTGGTACAAAAGGTCTTGTCACAAGAAATACATAATTAGAGAAGTATAAAAGCTTATCACCCACCATTAGAATGTTATAGGTAAGGTTAAAGTTTTTACAAATATGGGTCATATATTCAAGGTCAGAAGGTCAAACACTAGAAAAGACTTTTCACAAAGAATACAGTTTGATATACAAACCACTAGAGTGACTGTTTAAAAGTTACGACAAATGTGAATAATTTTTTAAAGTGTAAATGGAACTCATAGGTCAAGGTCAAAATGGAAAAAAATTGGTACCCAAAGAAAAATCTGGTCATATGATATTGCAAAAGTAGGTCAAACCCCAAGATCAGGAGGTCAAATACGAGGGTAGCTCTTTTCAAAAGGAATACATAATTGCAATATGAAATGCATGGCGCAAACAATTCAGAAGTTATGGAAAAACTTAAAAATTAAGAGGGGGGGGGGGCAAAAAAACTAAACACAGTTTTAAAATAATATGGCCCCTAAACCTACGATTACACAGATATACTTCACATCACAAAATCAATATTTCAGCATGCTTCACATCACAAAACTAGTGATGTTTTATGAAAACTTAGTCAAATAACATTTATGATGAAGGCAAATGAAAATATAGTGTGAAGAACCAGTGTCGGACGGGTACATTGATGTTTTCCGAAATTCATCTGATCGGTTAATGTAATAAAAGAGACAAAACAGCTCGATGAGTGTCTATAACATATGCTGTACCTTGCTTTGCTTGAATGAATTAATGGCATTAAAATCAATTTTGATTTTAGAAATATGCAAATTAATTACATAAATTTTTAATTTGAAATCTATCAGCTAAAAGTCATATTTTTTAAAACTTTTAATGTATTTACAGGGAATAAGAAATATGCATGTAAGTACATAGACGTTGGATTTGGGGGTAGGGGGGCTTAGCACCCCTCCCCCTTTTTTTGCAAAGATAGACATAATTTGGGCATTGAAAATTTGGGTTTACACATTTTGTTGGTTAAGTCCCCTCTTTCAATTACCCCCTTTTAATTTACTCACGACGTCATGAACTACCATGAGCGACAAATATACTAGTAATTGGGAATTGTGTGTGTCTAAAGATTTAATTCTGAATTAATGTAATGAAAACCATAAAATAAGGGAAAGAAAAAAATCGCTATGACAAAATGAAATACAAACTTCAAGGAATTCATGTCGTTTCTCAAAGGGAAAATAAATATTCAAATATTTAGATAAATGTTGAAAACAAATTTGCACATGAATTTTTAATCCATATTTTTCCCCAAAGATACAGAAATAAATTGTCAACTCCCATTAAACTCCCGGAATCAATATAAAATGTATAAACTATAAACACATTAATTATAGAAACTTTCACATTTGTCTTTTTTTTTAACTGGTAGAAAAAATACCTGGGATAAAATTATCCCCGCATTCTTTGAAATTGTACACATATGTACGTACATGTAGTATGGATACTTTAAAAATAAAAGAATTACATGATTTTATCAGGAAATTGATCGTCAAATAATTAATAAAGACACACGTAGAAGTCATCCAACAATACAATTTGTAAAGCTAAGAGCAGTTTTAATACAGTTTAAAATATTCATACAGTTCGATGAAAAAAAAGTATCATAAGCTGTGAGTTCCTTTATTACAATTTAATATCCCAATAAATATTGATTCAGCAAGGATTGATGAATTCAGAACACATCCTCTCAGCTTGAAGTATAATTTATAATAGTCAACATCTTGCATAGAAAAAAATCAAAATATGACTGTACATTTCAGCAAATTCCATTTTATTGTTCAAAGATATTGTACAAAATTAACATAATTAAAAAGGGAGATAATCTCATTATTCCCGCCCCACCGGGGGACTGATACAGGCAGTTCTTGTATACGAATCCATCCGCGCGGACACACCTATGCTCGGGGTCACAGCAGTGTTCGTGTTTTGAGCACGTCTCCCAGTACTGAGCGCAGCACTGCTTCTTGTCCCCACACATCAGGTAGTTCTCACAGTGGTACCTGTACAGACAATGTCCCCCGAGGCTGCTCTGACTACACCGCTTAGTCGTCCCCGGGTTCTTCTGAATACATTTTTGACTACAGCACCCTGCGTCAGTCGAACACTCCTCGTTAGCCCATTTGCACTGGGGGAAACCTAGATGATGAAGTTATTACAATCTGTTACATTTACGCATTCAGTCATAACACGTACTCTGTTGCATTAACTTACTTGGTAATAGCAGTTTGTTGGATTAACTTACTCAGTAATAACAATCTGTTATATTTACTCACTCATTAATAATTGAAGTTGTCCATAAACGATTTGAACACTCCACAGAAAACATAAAACACGCACCACATACATCTTGTGTCACTGCTACATATTTCTGACCTGAAAAATAAAATACATCGTTCTGTTCAATAAACAAATTGCATTCCGCTTATTTGAAAATGCAATAGATCACAGTTTTGGCGAGAAGGGAGGGGGGATACGTCATGAACCAGAAATAATGTCGATATTTTGATAAGAAACATTTACTTTCAATCATTTGTCATTTCAAAGCCCCATAAATGCTCTCATTTAGAAAGTAGGTGGTTTTTACCGAAGGTACCTGACGTTACTTATTTTCCTTATAATAAAAAAAAATTCCCCCTGCCTAATAATTAGGTAGGGGATATATTTTTTATTACAAGAAAAATAAGTAACGTCATATGCCTGTGGTTTTTACGTTTCTCTTGCTTATTTATGTATTTGTGGAGTTGGAGGAGTTTGATGATCATAGCAAACCTTAAGGTTCAAAATTTTTAAAGTTCAAAGGTCAGTACATGTCAAGGTCATTTAAGAAGATACATTGTAGCATAAGGAAAATATTTCGTATTTTACTTTTTTTTATTTTGATATGTGTATACAACAACTAGTTCTAAAGAAAAATCAACAACCTAATCAAAAATACAATAACTAAAAACTTGGTTGATTAGCCGGACGGACGAACAGATGAACCAAGATTCTAATGAAAGAACCTCGCAATTTCGATCCGGACGGATCAACATGCGCGGATCCTAATGAAAAACCTCGCAAAAAAATATATAGTATATGGACCCCCCCTGGAAAACACTGACCCCCCTCTGGTAAACGCGAATATGTGAAATGGGTATGAAAAAAAGATCGCCATTGTCAAGCATAGCTTGTCAAGAAATTTCTGGGATTGGATTTTTTTTTTGACTTCTGGATTATCAAGACTGTTTTGAAGAAAAAAAATTCGCCATTGTCAACCATAGCTTCTTTCAGACTTCATTATCATTTCTGGTCAATCTCTATAAACAAAGTCCCCACGAGACGATTTTGATATGGATCCGCTTAGAAAGCACTAAATGAAATCCTATAGGAATGTTACCTTAATGTTTGCGTGGCGTATTGACAGGGCTTCGGAATGGCTGTTAATGGATTGGTAGTATTGATTTGTACAGAGGCCTGAGCTTTATATCATACAATACTGAGAGAGCAGATCAGCAAAATAAAAGCATCTCCGTGAGAATCTCTGACTAGAGTATTAAATCACGTCTGTATATTGAGTGCTGGTAGGTTCTGTGCTTACGAAAAAAACAGCTACATATACACATAAAGAAAAGGCGGTGTTTTAATGATGTTTTAATTATGTATCATTGTGCAAAATGTTGCTAAAAGTAGAATTTAAGGGAAAGGAATGTTATGAATATCATTTTATCCGTACAGTAAAGATATTCCAGACACTACATATAGACACCACATATAAACACCACCTAGCAATGTCCTTCAACTGTCTTTCATTGAATCAAAGAAAAAAATTGTGGGGTGGGGGGGGGGGGGTCCCGGAAGAAAAAATCTTCTCTTTTTTTTGGGTTCCCGCAATCCTGATTTTATATCCTTAAAATATATTACATGTATGTTGTTTGTGTAAATAATAAATGCACAGAAACATTTTGTAGAAATCTGTATTGTTTATTTACAAATGTTGTCTCATTCTCGCAATGCCAGGGGTCCAGCGGCAACGTGTTGACTCGGGGTCCCTGGCTTGTGGGGATGATGTTAGCTATACAAAGTTCAGATTTACATATCAGTAGTGCAGTGTAGAAAAGAGTAATCAAATAAATACATAATTATAGACATTATCAATAAACCTGTTAATAAGTTTTTACTCTGCATATAGATTCTGAAGTATAAAATTGTGTGCACTGTATCATATTTACATGCCTGCAGCAATTCAATCATATAAATTACTTTGACCAGATTTCTATATTCGGTAACAGCTGAGACAAACTATAAGCTTATAATCAGTCTGAGCCCCGCACAGCATCAGGGGATGCAATCTGTTTTCAGGCACGTAAAGCCAGGCGTACGTTTGTAATCACAAATGTCCAAATTATTCTCGAAAATAAGGAGAGAGAGAGAAGAGAAACGTAATTTCCATATGTATGCGTGTATGCTCTTAAAACATGGACATCATTTTGCAAACAATAAATAAAATAATTATAAAAAATACAATTACTTTGAAACATTTTCGAATGATAAAAAATAAATGAGGTTTGCGGCGAAAAAAGGCTTGTTCTCCAATAATGTGTGTCATGTGGATCTATTTTAATGTTTCTACCTTAAAAAAACATGATACAATGAACATTCATTTTAAAATGTATAAAATATACATAAGTTAAGTGCAAGAAATTGAGTTGAAAAGAATTCTCCAGTCTCCCTAACATTACCGGTCTGTCTAACAGTCAATAACAGGGCCTGTCTAAATCAGTAAACCACTCTAACCGACTATTTTACCTTACGTATTTTGACTCTTCAAAAGCTTAAAATTGTTTAAGTTTCCTGCATATAACGATATTGGACATTTCCTTTCTCATTTTTGAGTGTTTATCCGCATTTTGTACAATAACAGAAAAGACCTTTATATGGCTGCGCCACAAACTTACACTGTATAAAGTGTAAAGAAAATGCGATCACTGGAGGGTAGAATTTATGCACGTCGAAAATTCACTAGGCCTATCTCCCCCCTCCCCCCTGCCTACTCGGGCGTCCATATCAAAAGTAGCCTGGCCACGCCCCTGGTTTCAGCGATTTTCTTTCGCTATAATATATGTATATAACTGTTTGATACTAGCTTTTAAAACTCTACATTGCAAAAATCATGTTTTGTTACTTTCTTAGGAAAAAAAATTAGAACAAGAGGCCCAAGGGCCACATCGCTCACCTGAGCAATTGGCTAGGAAAAAGCAAACATCAGATCAGAACTGAAAGTTTACTAACGGGGGGGGGGGGGGGGGGGGGGGAGGGGGCTTGAATTTTAACCCCCCAGGGGATCATGATTTGAACAAACTTGAATCTACACTACCTGAGGATGATTCCCTATAAATACTACTAAGCATGGCTTTAAAGTACTTGAAAAGAATATTTTAAAAGGTTTCCCTACATATTCCTATGTAAAACTTTTATCGGCCATTTGGCCCCACCCTACCGCCGGGGGTCATGATTTGAACAAACTTGAATCTACACTACCTGGGGATGATTCCACAGGAGTTTAATATTTCCTGTCTCAATGGTTCTTGAGAAGAAGATTTTTCCTATATATTCCTATGTAAAACTTTGATCGGCCATTTTGGCCCCACCCTACCCCCAGGGGTCATAATATGAACAAACTTGAATCTACACTACCTGAGGATGATTCCATACATATGAGTTTCATCTTTTCTGGCCCAGTGGTTCTTCAGAAGAAGATTTTTAAGGATTTTTCCTTTATATTCCTATGTAAAACTTTGATCGGCCATTTTGGCCCCACCCTACCCCCAGGGGTCATGATTTGAACAAACTTGAATCTACACTATCTGAGGATGATTCTTTATGAGTTTCATCGTTCCTGGCCCAGTGGTTCTTGAGAAGAAGATTTTTACAGATTTTTCCTATATATTCCTATGTAAAACTTTGATCGGCCATTTTGGCCCCACCCTACCTCTGGGGGTCATGATTTGAAAAAATCTGAATATACACTACCTGAGGATGATTCCACAGGAGTTTCATCTTTCCGGGACCAGTGGTATTCGAGAAGAAGATTTTTTAAAAATGCCATTAATTTTTCTCCAATTCATAATTATCTCCCCTTGGAAAAGGGCGTGGCCCTTCATTTGAACAAACTTGAATCTCCTTTACCCAAGGATACTTTGTAGCAAGTTTGGTTGAAATTGGCCCAGTGGTTCTTGAGAAGAAGATGAAAATGTGAAAAGTTTACGACAACGACGACGACGACAGACAACGGACAAATTTTGATCAGAAAAGCTCACTTGAGCCTTTGGCTCAGGTGAGCTAAAAACTCAAAGAGGCATCCTTTCTCCTCAAAACTATGTACATAGTTCATTGGTTTAATACCCAAGAGCAGAAAAGAAGATTTTCAAAGAAATAATTCATTTTCCCTACATAATCTTTATAGCCCCGCCCTAGCACTAACCCCTGAAAGCCATGAAATTCACAATTTTGAAAGAGGCAGCCATATTCAAGTTAACTATGCACTTGGTAATGTTATTTAATGCCCAGTAGCAGAAAAAAGAACTTCAAAGAAATACTGCATTTTCACTATGTAATCTATTTAGCCCCGCCCTAGCACTAGAACCCCTGACCCTGGGGCCATGAAATTCACAATTTTGGAAGAGGCAGCCTTATTCAACATAACTAAGCACTTGGTTAGTTTATTTAATGCCCGTGAACAGAGAAGAAGAATTTCAAAGAATTTATGCATTTCCACTATGTAATCTATTTAGCCCCGCCCTAGCACTAGAACCCCTGACCCTGGGGCCATGAAATTCAAAATTTTGGTAGAGGACTCAATGCTGATTACAATCATATCAACAGTTTATCTGCTTGATGTCCAGGAATAAAGAAAAAGATTTTTAAAGATTGCACTAATTTGAGAGGTTTTGAACCCACCCCCCAGGGGGGCAGGGACCACAAAATTCACAATTTTTGTTCCCCTTTACCCATAGATGCTATATGCCAATATTGGTTGAAATTGGTTCAGCGGTTTCAGAGAAGAAGATGAAAATGTTAAAATGTTAACCCACGTTGCACGATGAACGACAACGGACGAAAACGCATAGCAATAGGTCACCTGAGTTTACTAAAACGAAAGAAGATAATGTGTTTGTTTGGTTGTATGTTGTTTAACGTCCCTCTCAAGATTTTTTACTCGTATGAAGACTACACCACTAGCCGGTAGAAAGCTGCAAAGAACTTGATTCGGTAAGGACCAATATTTGCCCCCCAAATCAAACTTTGATGGAGATATATTTAATTAAGTTCTTAAACAGGGGAGTATATGCTGACTTCAAAGCACTGAATATTTTCATGAGTAATGACGCCATATGTACGTAATGACGTCACAAACATGATGTAAATTTCACTTTTTTATGAATTTTACAAAAAAATGTACATATTTCGTCGATATTTTGAGTAAAAGTCACCGAGCGCATGTGTGTTCAGGATCAATATTTTGATATAATGTGTAGAATGATAATATCAATGAAATATGTCAAAATTGTTCCTGAACAAACTTGCTCTATAAATTTTAAAGCTAAAATTGTTGAAATTTTGTCCATTTTGTCCTCTTTCTGAAAAAGGATATAAAATCGGACTAGTTTGTGACGTCATAAAAACAAAAATTGTGAATACACTGCTTTGACACTATAACATTTTCTGTTAATTTATATTTCTCATACAATTTATTGAATTCAGCACATTTCAGGAAGTTTTCAAAATTTGACTTTTGTGGGGGCAAATATATGCAATATACCGCATATAGTTCTTTTGTCCTATACTCGGCACTTACGGACATCGTAGACCTTAAGTATGAATAGTAAGAGATACAGGGTGATCCAAAATATCTGATACTATTTTGACTTTTAATAACTTTGTCAATAATCATTCAACATATTTCATTTATACATCATTTCAAACTGCTACATCTATCATTTTGATAAATATGTAAATACGGAAAAAATTTGATGTTATCATGATGTTATGACGTCATAAATTTGTTACTGTTTATTTAACATGGATAGATCAAATCAGAGAGCTGCAAAAATTGCTCAATTATAATTTAAGACACATTCACCCATAACGGAATTTAGTATCATGAGAAAAAGAAATTCATCGGACACTAAGCTAACAAACTGAAGTTACTCGGGTAAGTGAAAAGATTTCAAAAGATTGGTTCACTAGAAGTTGCCAGTTTAAAATAATGGAAGGCTTTGGACAACCAGAAATGTTTAATCTGTCACAGTTGTTGGAGAGGCGAAAACTGTTAATAGTGACCATTACTTGCACCTTCTGATTAACGAATTTATTCCAGCTCTCACAGAAGAGGTATTCATACTGCTGATATTTACTTCCAACAAAATGGAGCAACCCCCCCCCCCCCATACACAAACACACACACACATTAGGACTCAGGACAAGTCCTTGGATTGTTACAGAAAACATTCTTTAAGGAACTGATTTCGTTCAGGAGAAGACTGTTATGCCCTACATTCCGCTGATTTAATTTAGTGGACTTTCTCTTGTGGGGGGTTTTCATACAAAAAGAGGATAATCTAAAGTCAAACGTACACTCTGAAGGATCTTAAATTAGCAATTAACCCAGAAATTTGGAAAGATAAACAAGATATCTATGCTAAAATTTGATCAATAATTAGAAAAAAAAATCCTGAATAAAAAATGGACGTCACGTAGAGCATGTGCAGTGAATAAAAGCATTGGTTTGAGACTGAATTATTATTTTAAAGAATGCGTAAAAACATAGAGGCATGTATTGTAAAAAATGTTATATCATATGTTAAAATTTGAAATATTTGGATAATGAGTATTTTAATATTTGACAAAATTATTATCATTTGAAATGGTATCAGATATTTTGGATCACCCTGTATTTTCTGCGACATGGGACCTCGGTGTATACATTCTCACCCTAAGGACCGACCTCTACATCCCACAGTGTTATCAGTATTGTACTCCACTGGGTGAACGTTTCGAGAGAAAGAACACATCATAAAGCAACGATTTAGTTTATCATCTTCCCTAATGGCTTTCCATAGATGTGCCATCTTATCCGGGTCAATCTCAGAAGAACCCTGCCTGGGTCGCAGAACAAATACAGTAAACAGGTCCTTGTCAACATTACGAAAAACACATCATCTCTTTTATCAGTTTATCATAAAATCTTGTGAAAATAAAAAGAAGCAATAGCTAATGTGTAAAGCAAACACACCGTTTACACAACCTTCTAATGCCTTGGCTGAACATTTTCATACAATACCTCTAGTAGTATGAGAAAGCCCCCTCTCTGTAACCAAACACATTTTTGGGGCACACCCCTTTAAATAAGTGTAAATCCTTACAGAGACTGGATTTTAATCATTATAACATTCTTCTGATTTGTTTACACAAAAATGTTACACTTACAGACGTGCGTGTGTTATGCGAGAAGGGGATCGTCATTTCACACTTACTCTGTTTAATGGCGAGGCACACAACTCCCAACTTAGTCAATGATATTCCTTAATCCTTGTTATTACGTGTTCTGAATTCTCTCCAGTTTACAAATACTCATCCACACTATCTCTAGAGCAACATTTCCCAGAAAATTCTGGGAAATAAATACACAATTGCACGTCCAGAAAATAAGGAAAAAAACATACAAGGGAAATGCGATCCGTTTCCTCTGTACAGTATCACATAAAATTCAGATCCAGTAAATCACTATATATTTGTTATAACTTCACTTACCAGTACTGTGGTTTTACATCCTTTCTCCAGCTCCTACTTGAGTACTTGACATAAAGTGTTTTGTTGTTCTAGTTGCGTTTTGCCTGCTTTCGTGGCAATAGCGGTTTGCTTAATATAAATTGCATAACATAAACTAGAACAGCTCAGCACACGGCTTCATGCAGAAAAACTTTAAATTAATAGCAAACATATTTTCAAATGAAATCGAAACAGAATATAAATGTTAAGTTACATGTGAATCTAGTATCGGAGTCAACAACATTTAGGGGCATTAAAAAAATATTAATGACGAGCTTGTTTAGTATTTTTAATTTATTAGTATTTATTTATTTATCTTTCTTTCTTACTTTGAAAAGCTTGAAATTCTAGCTTCAAATAAAATCCTGTCAGTTTTATGCCTCCCATAGCAATGACTCTGTTTGCGAAATGGGGAAAATAATACGGTTTTATTCGTTAGGCACATTGTTGATGCACAATGGAGTGCAGAATAAAGAGCCTCTGTAAGCGTACAAGTATAACGCGGCTCTTGCCTGAAAGGATCTTCGCTAGCAAGGGTTTCTGATACGCTACTCTCCTCATAATCTTTGGCATATATGGTGTTGATAGAAGTTGGGTTTTTTCTCGATCGGTACACTCGGTACACCTCGGCCGATTCGTACCTCGTTTGATGTAGTCCACGGAATCAGCCGAGGTTTGCCGAGTGGGGTTCGGTACACCCAATCAGCAATTGTTTTTTTGTTTTTTTTGTAAATGACGATATTTGAGTTCTGGATACTTCTTGACTCTTTAATCTCGGAAATGAAAAACGCAAGTTAACTGAAAGGAAAAAGAAACGCATAATAAATTTTTGAATAAAATTAAAACTTTTATTTCCAATATGTTTTCCAGTATTGTTATCAAACAATTTGATCCAACTTTAAACAACAAGTAATCGAAATCTTGTGTGACTTTGACTGATAATTCCTGAGTTATTGAAATTGATATGTCGATACCCCCTAAAATTAAAATAAAAATTCTCATCATCTCCCTTGCGCATCAGTAACAGCCTTGATTTTCGTGTGCATTGAGTTCACCTGAGCATTTATCTTTCTCATAGAATTCATGCGCGGATCTAGAGGGGGGGTCGGGGGTGTCAGGACCCCCCCCCCCCCGGAATTTCGACGGTTAAAAAATGTATATACTAAAGCAAGAGAAAAGTCACCTTGGACCCCCCCTGGAAAACGCTGACCCCCCCGGTGAACATGAATATGTGTGAAATGGGTATGAAAAGTGAAAGAATTGAGGCAGTAGAAGTCATAGCCTACCTACCTAACCCCCCCCCCCCCCACCACCACCAACATCACCACGAAATAAGTTTTTTTTTACGTTTGGGCGAGTTAAGGTTTTTTTTTTTTTTTTTTTTTGCTTGTCAAGAAATTTATGGGACTGGATTTTTTTTTTTGACTGGGTGGACCCCCCCCCTGGAAAAAATTTCTGGATCCGCGCCTGGAATTATCATTCAAGCCTTCCGACGAAAGTCTTAATGGTTGAGAATGGCTGTGTTATTCCAAAGCCAACAAATCCCCCCGCCCAATGAATCCTACGAATTTTCGATTTAGGATAGAATTTACAGAATCTAGCTGATTAGGTACACGTGAATGCTTGTAAGGAAGTCCCGACAAACACTGACTACATTTTCTCAGCGTGAACATGCTAAAAACATTACACATAAGGCGCGTACTGCGCGTGTGAGAGTAAAAATCGACGGAAAGTTGCCAAGCTTGCGTACCCAATTAGAGCAGAGAGTTTCTGTCAGTATTAGGGTGAAAATATGAGTATGACTGTCTTCTGTAAAAATATCGATGTCAGTGATAATGACAATAACCGAGGTAGCATGATGAAAAGCCCTATCTTGATGTGACGTTGTTACGCGCCAACGTCACCATCATGGTTGGTTGGAAACCTTTTAAGTTACTGTCTCTGACAACCGAAAAAACTTTTTTGGTTGAAAATTTAAAAACAAACTGCACAGCAACATGTTGTTGCCTTTTTATTCACTTATGGAACTCAATTACTAGACCCAATGTAACTTACGTTAGCCATACCATGATTGCAAGAAATTTGTACTGACTGCAAATATCGGAAAACGATGTCTGTAACTCTAATGCATCGATTGGCACTACATACAAAATGGGATCACAAAAATGTCATCATCAACATGCACGTGTATTTAGCTTTTTATCACTTTTATCACGTGACGAAAACAATCCCGTCTTTTGACTGCACTGTATGCCAAGGGTTCCTGAGGAGAGTAGCGTATCAGAAACCCTTGGCTAGCGAAGATGCCGCGCCGCGCTGTAGGAGCCTGGCATGCATCTCGAGTTTAATTGTGCTTTAAATCTTTTAACATACGCTGTGTAGGAGGAATATGTGTATTATACTATAACTTATTACTGTTTGTCCCACATGAAGCTTTCCCCCGACACGAATCTTTATCATGGCGCAGCATATCAAAAAGATCTTGAACATGATGCACTATATTTTGTGAAACAGTGATGCCCCTTGTGGGAATTAAAAATTAATTAAAAAGTGGGATGAACTGATTTAAACATATTTTATTAAAACATAATCAATGAGATTGGACACAAGTTGTGCCAACTTAGAATGTCCTCTCCACAAACAAACAAGAGGCCCACGGGCCTTATAGGTCACCTGAGTATCGTGCAACAACTTTCAAACAATTAAAATTGGTTCGTGTTTTCAACCAGAGGCCATGAAATTCACAATTCACAATTTTGAAAGAGGCACCATTGCTCCTCATAATTATGAACTTAGCATGCTTAGTCTATTTACCTAATACCCAGATGTAGATCAGAGCAACAAAGATAAAATGCACTTCCACTTTATAACCAGTTGTGCACCTCATCCCAAAGGAACTACTGACCCTAGGGCCACATATTTCAAAATTTTGCAAATTTTATCATAAAATGATTGATTAATACTAAAAGAGCAGATTTCAAAGCATTAATTTATTTTCAGACTATGAACCACCCCCCCCCCCCCCCCGACCAGGGGGCATAAAAAATAATCATTTTGCTAGATGCACCTTTCTTCATCATAAATATATATACTTGGATCATTGGCATAAAACCCAGGAGCAAAGAAAAGATTTTCAAAGATTTAATGTATTTTCACTATGTAATCAATAGAGCCCCCCCCCTAACACCAGAACCCCTGACCCTGGGGCCATAAAATTCAAAATTTTGGTAGAGGCACTCTTGCTCAACATAACTATGTACTTAGTTAGTCTACTTAATACCCAAGAGCAGAGAAGAAGATTTTCAAAGAATAAATGCATTTCACTATATGATCAATAGAGCCCCGCCCTAACACCAGAACCCCTGACCCTGGGGCCATAAAATTCACAATTTTGGTAGAGGCACTCTTGCTCAACATAACTATGTACTTAGTTAGTTTACTTAATACCCAAGAGCAGAAAAGAAGATTTTCAAAGAAATAATGCATTTTCACTATATAATCTATTTAGCCCCGCCCTAGCACAAAAACCCCTGACCCTGGGGCCATGAATTTCACAATTTTGGTAGAGGACTCAATGCTCATTACATTCATGTCAACAGTTTGCCTGCTTGATGTCCAGGAGTAAAGAAGAAGATTTTTAAAGATTGCAATAATTTCGGTGGTTTTGGCCCCACCCCTCAGGCCCCAGGGGGGCGGGGACCATGAAATTCACAATTTTTGTTCCCCTTCACCCACAAATGCTGTATACAAAATTTGGTTGAAATTGGTTTAGCAGTTTCAGAGAAGAAGCTGAAAATGTTCAAATGTTAACACACGACGGACGACGATGGGCGAAAACGGATAGCAATAGGTCTGTATTAGGTCACCTGAGTGACTCAGGTGACCTAAAAAAAGCAAATTTGTAAACACGTGATGTACAACAAACAAATCTACAATGCAAAAAAGAAGAAAAAAGTGCTGAGAGATCTATATAAGAAAGGAAGGGAATAGGAGTACAAGGAGAGATGAAAGAAGGAAGGGGATGTAAATTATACTGAATGGGATGAACTCCAATGCCAATATCAACAAAGGTTAATAAATAAATGGTATCTAGAGCAAGGCCTTGTCACAAAAATACACTTAAGGAATGAAGCTAATTTCAACTTGTTATACGATATAACATAACTTGGGGCAGTTTACGCTTCATAAACCGCGAAGCGGTTTATAAAACAAGAGGCCCATGGGCCACATCGCTCACCTGAGAAGCTTTAACCATTCTGTTCTTTACCAGATTTCCCCCTTGTTATACATAATGCATCCCCACCCTACCCCACTGATCATAATTTAGACATTTTGAAATCTACACTACCCCATGATCCTTCCATGGGCACATATGTTTCAGCTTTTTTGGCCCAGTGGTTCCTGAGAAGAAGATTTTCAAAGATTTTTCCTATATATTTCTATATAAAACTTTGATTCCCCATTGTGGCCCCGCCCTTCCCCCGGGGGTCATTATTTGAACAATTTAGAATCTACATTATACCAGGATGCTTCCACATAAGTTTCAGCTTTTCTGGCCCAGTGGTTCTTGAGAAGAAGATTTTCAAAGATTTTTCCTATATATTTCTATATAAAACTTTGATTCCCCATTGTGGCCCCGCCCTTCCCCCGGGGGTCATTATTTGAACAATTTAGAATCTACATTATACCAGGATGCTTCCACATAAGTTTCAGCTTTTCTGGCCCACTGGTTCTTGAGAAGAAGATTTTCAAAGATTTTTCCTATATATTTCTATATAAAACTTTGATTCCCCATTGTGGCCCCGCCCTTCCCCCGGGGGTCATGATGTGAACAATTTAGAATCTACATTATACCAGGATGCTTCCACATAAGTTTCAGCTTTTCTGGCCCAATGGTTCTTGAGAAGAAGATTTTCAAAGATTTTTCCTA